AGTCCCACATCAGGCTCCCTGCATGAAGCCTGCTTTTCCCTCTGCCTGTGCTTCTGCCTCTTTCTCTCTGTGTCTCTCATGAATCAATAAAATCTTTCCAAAAAAATGTTCAATAAAGACTCTAAACTTGAAAAGTCACCTGGCCAGCCTTATCACAACAGAAAAACTCCAGACCGATCTGAGTTTGTTTGGCAGCTTGGTCACTACTTTTTAGCTGTTACATAGAGTGGAATAGCCCAGAAAGTAAACAAGAACTGTCATGGCTCAGAGACTTCAAATGACACGGGAGCAAAGTGTCCAATTTTGAGATGGATCTGGGAAATGGCCAAGATAAATTTCTATGCTGCTACTTTCTGTTCCTCAGACTTGCTTTCAAGACTACTACTACTCCCACTACTAATAATTGCCATTAAAAATGTAATGCAATGGAATGTAATGCCATATATATATATATATATTATAATTACAGTATGTTCAGCGAGATCCTAGCACTTTAAATTATCTCATTGAATCTTTATATGTATCCCTACAAAGTGTGAGCTGTTATCATCCCCATTTTACAAATGAAGAAATCGATGCACAGAGAGGTTGAGAAACGTACCCAAGATCTGAACCACCACATGGCTATCCTCCAGCAAGAAGTGGGTAAATTACTGGCTATGGTGTTGAAAAGAAGAGATGAGATGGTCCTTGGAGGGGTAGTCTACGTACTTTGAGTTGGTTTCAAGGAGGAAGGGTGGGTTTTCTCGGATCCACCCATATTTTCTTACTCTTGTAATAAAGGCATACCTTTCAGTTGGTGACTTGGTTAGGTAGGGTGGAGGGCAGAACAGCCCCAAAGATATTGAATTCCTGATCTAGTTAGTGTTACCTCAAATGGCAAAAAGACTGCAGAGGTGATTCAGGTAAGGTTGTTAAATAAAGCAAATATTCTGGGTTATTTGGGTAGGTGCAATGTGATCACAAGGATTATCATAAGTGAGACCAGGTCAGAGTCAGAGAGATTTAAAGATAGAAAAAGAAGCCATACAAAAAAAGAAAAAGAAAAAGAAGTCATGCAGGCAGCCTCTACAAGCTAGTAAAGCTGAGGAATTGAGTTCTTCCTTAGAGCCTCTAGAAGGAAAACAGCCCTGCCAACACCTTGACACTAGTCTGATAAGACTCATTTCAGGGACTAATTGAAGATTAGGAAACAAAATTAGAACTCTGCCAAATGTTTGAATACCCAAGTGTGGTTTGATTGAGGAAATTCTATTTTCCTCTCCTTACATTCTCCCACAGTACTTACCTTCAAGAACACAGATATGGAAAAATGAACAGGTAGTTACGATCGTGTTTCTCCGAGGAAAATACAGTGTTGGGATCCCTGGGTGGTGCGGCGGTTTGGCGCCTGCCTTTGGCCCAGGGCGCGATCCTGGAGACCCGGGATCGAATCCCACATCGGGCTCCCAGTGCATGGAGCCTGCTTCTCCCTCTGCCTATGTCTCTGCCTCTCTCTCTTTCTCTCTCTGTGACTATCATAAATAAATAAAAATTTTTTAAAAAAGGAAAATACAATGTTATAAAAAGTATAGGAGGGACACATAAGCCCAGCTTGGGGACCTCAAAGACTCCTTAACTGAAATGGCCATTGTATTGCTCTGAGTTTCCCCAAGAAACTGAACCAGTAGGAGAGAGGAGTGTGTGTGTTCACATATGCGATTTGTTATAAGGAATTGGTTCATGCAGTTACAGAGGCTGAGAAGTCCTGAGATTGGGAGTCGGCAAGCTGGAGACCTGAGAGGGTCAATGGTGTGAGTCCCAGTCTGAGTCTGATTCCCAAGGCAGATGATCAATGAATGTCTCCACTCAAACAGTTAGGTGGAGAGCAAATTCTCTCTTACTCTACCTTTTTGTCCTATTCTGGCCTTTAATGAATTAGATGAGGCCCACGTTAGGGTGGGCAATCTGCTTTACTCAGCCTACTGATTCAAATCTTAATTTTATAGAAAACACCTCACAAACCCAGGATCACATTTGACCAAAGATATGGGCATTCTATGCTCCAGTCAAATTGACATATAATCTTTTTTTTTTTTTTTTTAATTCATGAAAGACACACACAGAGGCAGCAACATAGGCAGAGGAAGAAGCAGGCTCCATGCAGGAAGTCCGATGTGGGACTCTATCCTGGGACTCCAGGATCATACCCTGAGCCAAAGGCAGACGCTCAACCACTGGGCCACCCAGGCATCCCAATGACACATAATCGTAACCAACACAGCCACTCAGGTGTGACTTGAAGGATTAGTTTGTATGGCATCATAACCCAGCCTGGTCTAATGAATATGACACAACACACTTTTTAGTTGTTGAAAAGAAAAAAGGAGGTCCCGACAGGGAAAGATCTCTAATGTATACCAGCGAACCAGGGAATTCTCAGAATAATTACATGTCATATCATCCCTTTTTTTTTTGTAGAAAAGCGATATTTGTACATTCAAAGTACAGAAAGTATGACAATAATTGACAGTATACAGCAATAATTGACAGTGATTATTTCTGGGAAGAGGTGAAGAGAAGGGAAAGATATAGAAATTTCAACATGTTACCAGTGTATGTGTATGCACAGAAAAGGACAAGGCAGATTACTCACAAAAGTGCTAAGAATTTTTGAGTTAAAGGGATGTTTTATAGGAAGTTTTATGCTGTTTTCATTTCTCTGCAATTTTTTTGGTGTTTTCTCTGCATTTTCTTTCTTTCTTAGGCTTTTATAACGATTGTATCTACCTTTAAAAGGTAATATATGTACATGGTCAGAAATTCTAGAGGCACAACAAGATATCTAGGGAAAATCCTCTCTCACAGTTCCTCACAGCTCCCAGTGCTCTGCACTGTAGCCAGGTTTCTAATTTGTCCTTCCAGGGATAAAGGATCTTCTTACTTATTCTTTGGTTAGTTTCCTATTTTACCCAAATGGATGCATATGAGAAACACTTTCCTAGGCCTTGCTTTGCCCCCCTTAGTATTTGTTGGAGATTGTTCCATATCCATACACAAAACTGCCTTGTTCATTATATATTTTGAAGTTTAAGTAATCTCTCTACCCAACATGGGCTTTAACTCATGACCTTGAGATCCGGAGTTCCATGCTCTTCTGACTGAGCCAGTCAGGCACCCATGCCTTGTTCTTATAAGCAGTTGCAGGGTATTCCACTATGTGAGTACATTGTGACTTCTTTAATGGGTTTCCTACCTGTCAGATTATTAAATCGTTCCTAACCTTCTGTTTTGACAGACAGCTCTATAATGGCTATCCTTACGAAGCAGATCATTCTACACATGTGAAAAATGTATCTCTAGGAGGTGTTTCCCAGAAGTGGAAGCATTAGAGCAGAGTGTACATATTTAGTTTTGGAAGACATTCGACTTGCTCACCACAGACAGTAGACCAACGTCACTTGAAAAAATCAATATGTGAGGGAGTCTGTTCCCTCACGCTCCAAGCAACAAAGCGTCACCAATATTTTGATCGTTGTCGTGTGAAAAGTGGCATCCTACTATGATTTTAATTCTTATTATTATGAAGCTAAGATTTCTTTCATTCATCTAGAATCCATCTGCATTTCTTTCCCTGTGAACTGTATTTTCAGCCATTTGCCTATTTCATTTCTTGAGCCTCCGGTCTTTTTATAGTGCGTTTGCATATAAAGGAAACTAACATCTTACGACAGGTTTCCAATTTATCTTCTGACTTCATGTGTGGTTCGTCCAATTACGTTAATCGTTACGAGGAGGAAAGGCTGTTCACGCCCCGTCCACGGTCCACGCTCGTCCGCGGCGGGTGGGAGCTCCTCGTGGTCCGCCCACCCTGCGGGTCGCGCTCCCCGGCGCCTGCTCCCTCCTCGCGCCCACGTGGGCTCCCCTGCAGGCGGCCGAAGATGTCCGTCCGTCCCAGGCAGGCCCAGGCGCACGTCGGCGGCCCCGTGGGGCAAGGCTCTCGGGCAGGACGCTCCCTCGGGAACTGCGTCCCACACGCGGCGAAGTTTCCTGTCCAGCTCCCGCTTCCGACTCCTTCGCTGGCCTGTCTCCAGCCTCGCGGCCGCCACACGGACCCGTCCCCACCCCTTCCCGAGGCCCAACCCCGACCTCGACCGCACCCCGGCCCCGGCTCCCACCCGCACCCCCGCCCGCCAACGCTCCACCGTCTCCGCGGGTTGCCTCCTTCGGGAACTTCGGGAACTTCGCTCCAATGGGTGAAGAACAAACCGCGGACGTGACGCCCCTGGAAGCCCGGCAAGGAGGGCCTCGCCCCGGGCCCCGAAAAGGCAACGAGCGGGGGCTCTGCCCCGACAGGCCTGGGGCCTCCAGGCGGCGCAAGGGGCGCAGGGACCGCAGAGGGCGCAGGGGCCGCGGGAGCAGCAGAGGCCGCAGGGGCCGCAGGAGTCGCAGAGGCCGCAGGGGGCGCAGGGGCCGCGGGAGCCGCAGAGGCCGCAGGGGGCGGAGCCGCAGAGGCGCAGGGGGCGCAGGGGCCGCAGGAGCAGCAGAGGCCGCAGAGGGCGCAGGGGGCGCAGGGGCCGCAGGAGCAGCAGAGGCCGCAGGGGGCGCAGGGGGCGGAGCCGCAGAGGCGCAGGGGGCGCAGGGGCCGCAGGAGCAGCAGAGGCCGCAGGGGGCGCAGGGGCCGCAGGAGCAGCAGAGGCCGCAGGGGGCGGAGCCGCAGAGGCGCAGGGGGCGCAGGGGCCGCAGGGGCCGCAGGAGCAGCAGAGGCCGCAGGGGGCGCAGGGGGCGGAGCCGCAGAGGCGCAGGGGGCGCAGGGGCCGCAGGGGCCGCAGGAGCAGCAGAGGCCGCAGGGGGCGCAGGGGCCGCAGGAGCAGCAGGGGCCGCAGGGGGCGCAGGGGCCGCAGGAGCAGCAGAGGCCGCAGGGGGCGCAGGGGCCGCAGGAGCAGCAGGGGCCGCAGGGGGCGCAGGGGCCGCAGGAGCAGCAGAGGCCGCAGGGGGCGCAGGGGCCGCAGGAGCAGCAGAGGCCGCAGGGGGAGCAGGGGCCGCAAAGGCCGCACAGCGTCTGCGGTCTTGGGGCCCCGGCACTGGTGGGCACCGCGTCCTCGCGGCCCGCGGGCGCCCCGGCACGACTCGCTCTCCGCTCCTGGACTCGGCCACAGCCCCGTCCCCCCGGGGTTCCGCCGCAGGACAGCGCGCCCGGGCTTAGCCCCGAACTCCGGCCACCTGGGGGCCGACGGGGCGCCTCGGAACCAACGGCTCGACGCCGGATTCCAGCGCTAGAGGGGACGCGAGTGCGGAGGACTTCCGGGGCGGGGTCCGGCTGGAGCGGAAGAGGCCTGGGGCTGCGCGGGGCCGGGCGGGGAGCGGGAAGGACGCCGTGGGTGCAGGGGCTCGGCCATGAACTTGGAGCGGCTGCGGAAGCGCGTCCGGCAGTACCTGGACCAGGTGGGCCGCCCGACCGGGAAGGGGGAGCCCGGGGGCTGGGGAGGCCAGTCGGCTCTGAGCCCTGGTCCGCGGGGGTGGCTGTCGTCGCGGTCTCGGCGGCGCCGGGTCCGACCCGGCCTGGGCCTTGGGCCCGGAGTAAAGCGCTCCACGGGAGGGGCGCAGCCCCCCAGCCCCGCAGGCCTCCAGCTCTTCAGCCCTGCGGGTTCCCAGCCCCCGCGACTCCTCACCCCAGCCCCTCAGCCCTCCAGCACCGCAGTCCCCCAGCCCCGAAACCCATCACCCCAACCCCGCATCACCGCAAGCCCCCAGCCCCCCAGGCCCGCAGCCCCCCAGGCCCCACAGCACTGCAGCCCCCAGCACCCCAGCCTCGCACCCCACAGCTCCCCAGCATCCCAGCCCCCCCCCCCCCCCCCCGCCTTGTGGATGAGGGACCGTCAGCCTCGCACGTGCTGTGTACTGCGAGAAGTTTAGTTGTAATCTTATTTGGCAGGACTTAAGTGAATAAAAATACAAATAAGTGTGTTTTGTGGGGTCAGCATTTTTAAAAATTCATGTTAACAATATCTGCATTCCCTGCACTGCCCGTGAATGAACAGCAGTGTTTAAGAAGTTGATTCCAGCACTTAGGTTTTGTCAAGTTTATGCCCTCCAAATAAGTTGGAAACCAAGAAGGGGAGGGAAAAGCATATTTGATATGGAATGTTTGGAGTGAATCTGAGATTATGCCGCCAGATGCCTGCCGTACATTGGAGGCTCTATTTTGGCAAGTCAGTTAAATGGAGCAAATGCCGCTGAGCACTTTCCCTTGGGCCCTGCAGACTGAATAGGAAGGAGCCTGCCTGGTTTCCACCCCTGGGGGCACTTACAGCGAGCAGAGCAGAGGCGTGACCATTCTGGAAGCATTCCTCTTCCCAGATTGACTGGCTACACAGTACCTAGTTGGCATTCAAGAACTGAGAACCGCTGCTAACGAGATACTGCAAAATAATTGTTTAAGTTTTCTAGTGTTTTAGGTACCTACTGATCTATTTTTCCAATGTATTACACTTCTACAAAGAAAAGAAATCCTACCTTCTTGAGCTATGATTATCAAAGATCTTACAGTAATGTTCTTATTGTACCACTGAACCAAAACTCACCTAGCTGCATGTAAAATGGAGATATGATTGGTAGACCCCTGGTACATGTAAACCATTTTTGTATTAAGATGTCAATTTATTATATAGCAGTCTAATATTAGATATCTGTTGAAAACTATTGAAATAACAGCAGTTACTTTTATTTTTTTAATATAGCAACAGTATCAAAGTGCTCTATTTTGGGCAGATAAAGTAGCTTCACTTTCTCATGGTAAGTGACAACTTTAAATTTTTTTTCCTGATTTCTGTATTTTAAAAGGCTTTATAGTTTTCCTTGTACCTCTGACCAATTAAGTGATTTTTTTCTTCCAGAGGAACCCCAGGACATTTATTGGTTGGCTCAGTGTCTTTACCTAACAGCACAGTATCATAGAGCAGCTCATGCACTTCGGTCACGAAAACTGGACAAAGTAAGTGTGTGGACTTTAAAGCTTCCCAAAGCTTTTCAAAGTTGTCAATAGATTCAATGTCAAAATTATTTTAAAGGCTTCAGTTTTTCTGATTGAATGAGAAATTTTCTCATTCCTAATCTCCCTTTTGTCCCTCCAGCCGAGTCACTTAGTTTTTAAAATTCTGTTTTCTAAATAACCCTGAAATGATGGATATTCCTTTCCGTTTCATTACTCCTCGTACTTGTCAGGTCTTTCGTCTGTTTTGTCTTAGCCTCTTGTCTCTCTAGTAACATCTTTCCCACTTCTACTTTCCCTCTCTTTTTAACTATCCTTTAAACTATCACAAGGGTGATCTTCCCAAAACAGAAACACAGTCCTGATTATAGCACTCACCATATCACTAAGTGATTTTCCATCATCTACAGGGTCAAATCAGATGCATTAATAGTCCTCTGTGATTTCTCTCCAGTCTGTGTTGAACCGGGTCATGCTGACTACTTGCAGTCCTTTAGACCTACCCACTTTTTTCTCCGTTTAATTGGCTAGTATTGCTCATGCCCTTCTTTCAGAGTTTATGTAGTTTATGTCTTCCTGCCAGAACCTCCTCGAGGGCAGATCCTTACTCCTTTTTGAATCCTAGGTGCTAGTGAGGAGTAGGTTCACCATGAGTATAGTATTAAAAAGACTGGATTTGGGTTTTCTGCAAAAGTAAAAGGACAAATTAGGAAGGTTGCTTTCTTCATTTTATGCTTATAGCTTTCTTTTAGAATGGGAGCATGTATTATCTTGATCTCTTTTTTAATAATTTCTTTCCTAGCTATATGAAGCATGTCGCTACCTTGCAGCTAGATGCCATGTAAGTGTGCCCTCAGTTTCAATTTTCTTTGGTAAGAGTTTAATTATGTGAATGTTATGCATTCCTTACATATGTGTAAGGATTCTGGTGATCGGGCTTGGCAGATTAGTAAAATACTTCATGAGGAAATGTTCTTTTCTTTAGTATTATTTGCTATAAAATATCCTCAGTTTACTAGAATCTGACATGCAAGAAGAAAATTGTTTTAGAATTTTAAAATTTAAATTCTACATTTTAAATTTAGGTAATGAGTTGGCATGATATATTATTAACTTTTGAAATATACACATAGTATCCATGTGTATATCTAGTGTTAGAAGTCATGGGTGATAAACAGTATTTCTGGTTTTTACACAGTATGCTGCAAAAGAGCATCAACAAGCTCTTGATATTCTTGATATGGAGGAGCCAATCAACAAAAGGTTGTTTGAGAAATGCTTAAAGGATGAAAGTGGCTTGAAAGACCCCTCTAGTGACTGGGAAATGTCACAGTCCTCAGTAAGTCACACTGTAGTAATAAGCATGCTTCAGTAACTTTGGTGAGAATTACCCACAGGACATGGCAAACAAAAACCACCTTCTTTTCTTTGAGTATCACCATGTTAAAACAGTTTGCTTTCCAACTTATTTGTCGCTGAAACACAAAAACATACTGAGGCATTTCTGAGTCCTTAGTTGGAAGCTGTAGTTATGTCCTCATATGCCTGAATCTGGAATAGGCTGACTTGGTATCTTTTTTCTCATACTTGATGCCTTAAGCTACTTGGGCAAGTGGACTAACCCTTCCCCTTCTTTTTTTTTTTTTTTTTAAAGATTTTATTTATTTATTCATGAGAGACCCAGAGAGAGACAGAGGGGCAGAGACAAAGGCAGAGGGAGAAGTAGGCTCCATGCAGGGAGCCTGATGTGGGACTCGAACCTGGGTTTCCAGGATCAGGCCCTGGGCTGAAGGCAGCGCTAAACCGCTGAGCCACCTGGGCTGCCCTAACCCTTCCCCTTCTTACTGTGTTGCAATGGCCTACCCGCAGCCTGCAGAAAACCTTGATTACCTTAGTTTGCTTCCTTCCAGGGAGTGGTCAGGTGTTACTATTTATGTTATATTGTATATTTTAGTTTGTAGACTTCATATCTGCCCGCAAATTCCTTGTTGACAGAGGTTATATAATGTAGCCTAATCAATAACGTTCACAGTCAGATTACTAATCTGGACTGTTATTCTTGTTTTCTTTCTTTCTTTTTTTTTCTTTCATTTTTTTTAACAGCCTTCTTGAGATAATCTATTTATGTGCTAAGAAGCACATTCATTTTTCTGTTAAGAAAGGTATTTTTGAGGGAGCTTGGTTATTACCATTATTATTTTTGGACTGCTTATCTGTTAATTTATCTAAGAAATGCATGGTTTGTTTGTAATGTGTTATTTATGAAATCACTTTTTTAAAAAAATTTTAACAAGTCGTAGGGTACTGAATAGGTCTAAGATTTGCTTGTTATATCCTCTGATATTTTTAGGTTTGGATTTTCTGATGAATCTTCTTTGCCCTTTACCAGTTTTAGCTGCTTATCTTTGGATCATCTATAAGTCTAGTTACATATTTCTTGAGGGTCACAGTCTGGAATATGGATTACCCTACCCTCTTGTTAATGGTAGTGCAGTGGCGACTGTGCCTACACCTTGATGTGTGCTTACACCTTCTGGTTCTCACAAGACCTTGTAAGTAACGTGAGGGAAGGAAACCTGTCTGGAGTCACTAGTAAGCCTCAGAGCTGGGATTGGAACTCAGGTCTGCCCAGTACTACAAGCCCATGACCATTGTGCTGTGTTGCTACATTAAGTTTCTTTCACTGAGATCTGCCTATCAAACTGAGTTTGATTTAATATTTGTATGCTCTTTGCTATCTCAATCATTACCCTCTCTGAGACAGGATAGGAACAAAGTAGCAGTGACATGTACTCTAGTTATAAAGATTGTTGAAGTGAGGAGAGCTTAAGATAGATAGATTAGTTTTACTTTGTTTTCCTGTTTTACTTTATACTAACAGTTGGGATGGAACAAATCCTTTTAAAGGTAAAGAAAAGTCTCAGCCTTCAGGTAATATATAATTCTTGATCAAAAATTAAGTTTAGAAGTATTGATTTAGTATGTGACTCCTCATTTTTCCAACAGATAAAGAGTTCTATTTGTCTCCTACGGGGGAAGATCTACGATGCCCTGGATAACCGAGCCCTAGCTACTTATAGCTACAAAGAAGCTTTGAAGCTCGATGCCTACTGTTTTGAAGCATTTGATCTTTTAACATCACATCACATGTTGACAGCCCAAGAAGGTTTGGAAACTCAAGTGTTTTTATGTTTAGCACAATTAATAGTGTTTGGATTTTTTTTTTTCCTCTGAAGTCTGTAGAATCGAGCAGACAATGTTGCAGGTTTAAATAGACCTCTTAACTTCCTTAGCATCTTCAAATGTGAAGCACATTACAAAGGACAGTTTTTTACAGTGTCCCCTTGCTGTCAGAGTCTTTAGGGGTTTTGATGTATAAGACCATCTTTTTGAGAAGTGACTTAAGGTAGTGTCAGCCGAGTTCTCAGCTTCTGATTCAGAGGTGCCCAACCCGGCTGCACCTCAAAGCCCTGAAGAACTTTAAAAACATCAGTGTGCAGGTCCCGACTCCAGGCAAGTGGAATGGAATCTCTGTTCTTGGGGCCCTGGGTCAGATGTTTTAAAGTTCTCAGATGACCCTGAGGTACAGGTAGGGCTGAGAACCATAGACCTAGTATGTGAGCAGTAATACGAAGGGAACATAACGCAAGAAATGGAGAGAAGGTGGAGATGTTGTATTAATGGGACTCAAGCACATTTTAGCCTAGGGCAGTGGTTTTGCCCTCTAGGGACATTCTTGATTTTTACAAATTGAGAATGGTAGTGGGAGGTTTGCTACTGGCATCTAGTGGGTAGAGGTGAGATCCCGCTAACCATTCTGTGGTGCTTAGGACAGCCAACATGACAGAATTGTTCACTCAGAGTGAGGCTGGGAAACCAGCCTGCTGGTCCTTGTATCTGGTGATGTGCAGCATCGCTTAAAAGGCTTCATGGCTCAGCCCTCCAGGTAGTTCTCACCACCTGGGTCTGGAACCACTGTCCTAGTTTTTCTAGTACATTTTGATCTTGTTATTTTCTCTTCTGAGTTTGATTTACTTAGACCAAGAACTATAGAAGAATATTTTTCATTGCTGATGTTTTTTTCCCCCATAAATATTGTGAGGATTTTTTTTTTTTTTAACATTTTTAAGAAAAAGAACTTCTTGAGTCACTACCTCTTAGCAAGCTCTGTACTGAAGAACAGGAATTGCTACGCTTTCTGTTTGAGAACAAATTAAAAAAGGTAAGTGAAAACACTGTATTTGCTTTATGTAAATGTTTTACTAAATTTGGCCTCTGTTCTTTTACTAGCTAAATTTTTAAAAGTTAATTTTTATTACTTTAGCACATTTGCAAGAATAGATTTAGATTGCTTAAATGATGATTCCTAAAAAAGCTTCCAAAAACGTGTCTTTCTCCTACGGACACATTCCTACCCTGGAATTCCGTGATAAAATTGAGAGGAGAGTTCAGCTAATTGAGAAGAGGACAAATGACCAGGAAGTTAAGAGCTTCTGAATCTCACACTTGCCCAGTGCACAGCCTTGAGCCCTCGAGCCAGATTGAGGCTGCCATTTGATTTGTGTCACTCATTGAGTTCATGTCTACCTTTCTCTGTTGCAGTATAATAAACCTAGTGAAACTGTCCTCCCCGAGTCTGTAGATGGTTTGCAAGAGAACCTGGATGTGGTAGTGTCTTTAGCTGAAAGACATTATTATAACTGTGATTTTAAAATGTGCTACAAGCTTACTTCTGTGTAAGTATATCCACTCGTTTCTGTGTAGGAACATAAGAGTTCTGTCCCGTTTTACCTAAGGAGTGTGTGGGACTGCTTTCTGAGTAATCTTGAAATGGGTGATAATTTAAGTTGCTTTTACCTTTTATAGGTTACTAGGGGGGGGTAATTGTTTCTTAAAAGAACAAATTACAGGTTTATGCATGCTTGTAGTTTTATTCTATTACTTTAGGAATAGACATGTCCCTCATCTCAGTCTTCTATAATTTGCAAGTTTGAAAATACCGTTCTGGCACATAGTCTTATAAAATCCATTCTTTGTTAAAGTAGGGACTTAGTAAAATCCTCTAGATACTGGGTATTCAGTCAGTCTCACTAACTAGCCAAGCCATCCCCTCATGCCAGTTTTCCAGTGCACCTGATTCAGACTTGTCTCTTAGCTACATTATATATGCTATTTTTACTATATGTGCTGTAGAAGTGAGCACACATATGCTATTTTGAATGAATCTTGAGGATTGCTTTAAATCCTTGATTTCACAAAAATTTTAAGTGACAAATACTTATCATCTGTTTAATATTTCGTATTGTTTTTAATCCTAAATAATTGGATTGTTCATTTTATGTTATAGTTTTAATGATTTAAAGTAAATATATGTGATAGTGTGTATTTTTATTCCTAACAAATAAACCAGAAATTTCTCTTTCACTTGTGAGATAATTAATCATTACCTTAACTGAATCAAGGTGAAGTAAGAAAGTAAAAAAGTATTGTACCCCACAGTATTTTACATAATGACTGTTTAGACATTGCTAATTTTAATGAGTTTTCTGTTACATACTGTTTCTGGCACAGTAAGTCTGTTGTTTTGACTTTCAGAGTAATGGAGAAAGATCCTTTCCATGCAAACTGTTTACCTGTACATATAGGTACACTTGTGGAGCTGAATAAAGCAAATGGTAAAAAATTTTTTTAAATGAAAATAATTATTGGGGTGCCTGGGTGGCTCAGTTGAGCATCTGACTCTTGATCTCAGCTCAGGTCTTGATCTCAGGGTCTTGAGTTCAGGCCCTGTGTTTGGCATCACGCAGGGTGTGGAGCCTACTTAAAACAAAATAATAATTGTTAAGACAAAAAATTTCTGTAACTCTTGAAATTTTGTCTCAAATCCTGGATATTTGAGATTGCAGGTGACAACATAATGGAGTTCTCCAATAAAAGTAGTAGGGTAAGAAAGGCTTATTAGGGCACCTGGGTGACTCACTGGTTGAACATCTGCCTTTGGCTCAGGTCTGTCTCGGGCTCTCTGCAGGAAGCCTGCTTCTCCAACTCTGTTTCTCTGCCCCTCTCTCTGTGTCTCTCATGAATAGATAAATAAAATCTTAAAAAAAAAATAAGAAAGGCTTATCAGAGTGACTGAGGATCAATTCTATTATGCAGCAGAATACTGTTTCTTTAATCTGTGCCTCCTTTTCTCAAATGTAGTTTGTGGTTTAGGTTATATAAGCTTTATAGTGTTGGGGCCAGTTTTTCCTTTTTTTTTGTAAATCTCTAAGAAAATTGATAAGATAGCAGGCAGTAACTGTTTAGAAACTGGAGGGGGACAGACTTTTTTTTGCTTGTGCTTTCCATATTTTAACATTTCAGAAACTTAGTTATATTTGGATGATATTTGCCCTTAAGTCTTTTAAGCTGAATAGTGGACTCTGTCAGGATTTTAAAAAGCCAGACACTCCCATTCCAGACCCCTGCTGCTCAAACCGTGGTTTGTGAACCAGCAGCATGACATTTCCCGGAGGTTTGTTATGGATGCAGTCACTGGCTATCTTAGTCTAATGCGTCCGAGTCTGCATGTGGGAAACATCAATGGCATGTTATGACTTACACATTCCTCAAGAAGAAATCATTGTGCTGATTTGATAAACTTGAAAGTTTGGTTACTCAGATTGATTGTGGATGATATGGATGCTCCATAAGGCCATAGGGTTAGAGACCTCAGTTTTTAAGATAGGTCAAAAGCTGTGAAACTACTTTTTAAGTACCATGACGTGCTCTCTCATGTGCCACTCCAGAAGCACTCAGCACCCACTTACTGGGTAAGGAATGGGAGTGAATGAAAAATCTGTAACAGCTGCCTTGTGCAGTTGGTATATCTCCTTACGTAGAAAGAAGGAAAAGTATAAAATTTTTGCTGTGAGAACAAAATCTGTGTGATTGTGAAGAGTTGTAACTGGAGGAAAGTCGTATCTTAAAATTCATTGGATCTATTTTTTTTCTTTTTCTCTAATGTAGAACTTTTCTATCTTTCTCATAAGTTGGTGGATCTATATCCTAGTAATCCTGTAAGTAAGTGTAAAACTTTTTTTATTATGGTATTTTTTATGTAATAGCTTATATTTAAGTTCAAGCAAATAATGTTTTATTTCAAGGTGTTGGAGGAGAACCTCCTAGTGCTACGATAATTAGAAGCAGCATTAGCTTTTTCAGTCCATGAGCTTTTTTATTTTTCTAAGTATCTTCAAACAAGAGCTTAAGACAAAAATCCTTTTTTCTGGTTATAGTAATTATATACACTTATTTTAAAATACTTGACATACAGAAAAAGAAAATATTGAAAGTGAAAGTCATACTCTCACCTCTTACTGAGTAATGCTAATGCGTTTTCACACTGCACATGTAAGATACCTTATTGAACAATGCAGTGATTGAAATCAGTGTCTCCACTGCTGTGGGTCACAACCACCCAGACATTGAAACTGGAATCAGGAACTAGGTCTTTAGAGACAGAAGTCAGGGATCAAGGCCTAAGGCTCTCATAAGAATCCATCCTCGGCCAGCATGAAAGTAATCTAGAAAGAGGCAAAACCAGTGCAAGAGAAGTCAGCTAATGAGGTTGATCCTGGTTAGTTCCTGCTTGGAGCCAGGGTCGAGCCAGGGAAGACATGACGCAGGCTGGCATTTGAACTCTGGGAGCCAGATCTTCTGTTGAACCCTACACAGACGTCATTGAAGGCACTTTGAGGAAGAATCTTTTCTTTTTTTATCTAGGACTTTTTTTTCATCTAGGACTTTTAATAGCCTGTCTCAGAGAAGTTTCTAACTTGAACTAGAGTAGCTTGAGCTAGAACATGTATGTGATGGAACATCTAGTCCATGCTCTGGCCTAATCTGTTAGAGATTTCCATTTCCAACGTAAGCATCTTTGGTTACAGTAAATTTTGAACTTTGTAGGTATCTTGGTTTGCGGTGGGATGCTACTATCTCATGGTTGGTCATAAAAACGAGCATGCCAGAAGATATCTCAGGTACGAATCTGTTGTCTTCCTCCCCCTGTAAGAAGCCCCTATAGGCTTCCTATAAAGTGATTTCTTGTTCATCCTTTTAATATAGTAATTAGTTAAGTAATTTAAAAGCAATATGAAAGAATGATTTGTTTAGCAGATTCAGTTCAGTTGTATCAATTATGTACCTTTTTATAGGATGTCATGAGGGGAGATTCAAGTCAGTGGTCATTGATCTTGTTCTCAAGGAACTTACAATACATTTAAATCATTATTTATAAACTTGAAGAAATATGAAACAATAATGTAATTTGAAACTTGTTTTTCATTTACAAAGATAATAAATATTATAACCTTTTACTTTTAGGACTTCTTTTGTTAACAGTTGTGAAATTATATGAAACCCTGTGAGATTAGGATCACTAAATGTGACTATAGAACAGAATTCTTGGGGGTGCCTGGGTTGCTCAGCGGTTGAGCATCTGCCTTTGGCTCAGGACGTGATCTCGGAGTTCCGGGGGGATTGAGTCCTGCATCAGTCTCCTGTATGGAGCCTGCTTCTCCTCCCTCTGCCTATGTCTCTGCCTCTCTCTGTGTCTCTCATGAATAAATAAAACCTTTAAAAAAAAAAAAAAAAAGAACAGAATTCTTGCCCTAGTGAACTGGTTTATATGAGGGTCTGTTGTGGTCTTACCTTCAGGAACTCCATGCAGCCAAGTGAAGCTAACCAGTATTATTCAATTATTCAAGTACAGAAAAATGGGAAAGTGTATGGACCTTGGACCCAGATTTGAATTCTAATGCAAGTCTTGCCACTTACTAGTTAGTTTCTCTGACCCTGTTTTCTTTAAAATGGAAATGATACAATACTTGTATCCCCGGCTTATTAGGAAAACTGGTAGGTGACACGTAAAGAAGGACCTTGCACAAGGAAGAAAATAGGGAGGAGTTCTCTGATCAGTTGAGTTTTGCATTTTAGAAGAACTTACTGTGTTTTTCGTGGAGTAGGAAGGTATGCTTCTCTGATTTAGTGGTGGACTCTCCATGAAACAAGGAATATTTGAGTAATAGAAAATAAAATGCTGGGAAATGAGAATCTCATCCTTTGTGTTTTCCATGTTTTGTGGTATGTGTCACCAGTATGTCTGCTGACTGAAGACTACTTAATAACTGTTTGAGACCATGCAATCCAGTCTGCAGAATCAGAGTGACTCTCTTACCACCATCCATGGGATGTCACTTAATGTTCCCAGGCTCAGTATCCTTATCTTTAAAATATAAATAATTGTGGGGATCCCTGGGTGGCTCAGTGGTTTAGCGCCTGCCTTTGGCCCAGGGCGCGATCCTGGAGTCCTGGGATCGAGTCCCACGTCGGGCTCCTAACATGGAGCCCGCTTCTCCCTCCTCTTGTGTCTCTGCCTCTTTCTCTGTCTCTGTCTCTCTCTCTCTATGTCTATCATAAATAAATAAGTCTTAAAAAATAAAATAAAATGAAATATAAATAATTACAAGTTATTAGGAGTAGGTGATGCATATAAGGCACCTAACATGGTGCCTCATTAAATGGTTGCTGCTACCACCATTAGTGAAACAAAGCTCCTAGATTAAGTAATATTTCGGTACCAGATGCCATTGGGTTCAACTATTTTAGCTAAAAAATAGTGGATCTCGGGCAGCCCCGGTGGCCCAGCAGTTTGGCGCCGCCTTCGGCCCAGAGTGTGATCCTGGAGACCCGGGGTCGAGTCCCATGTTGGGCTCCCTGCATGAAGCCTGCTTCTTTCCCTCTCCCTCTGCCTGTGTCTCTGCCTCTCTCTCTCTCTCTGTGTCTGCAATGAATAAATAAATAAAATATTAATAAATAAATAAATAAAAAATAGCGGATCTCTTAAAATTTTGCTTGTACTATTAAGCACTTTTATTTCAAATGAATTAACACAGTTGTTATGTGTTTAGTATGTTGAGAGCTCATTTATTTATTTAATTCTAATATCTTCGAAGCCATCAGCTTATATAAGGTTAACAATTTAAGAATGAATATATTACTAGAATGGCATCTCTCGTTTCAGCAAAGCAACAACACTTGAGAAGACTTACGGGCCTGCGTGGGTAGCATATGGACACTCATTTGCAGTTGAGAGTGAGCACGACCAAGCCATGGCTGCTTACTTTACAGCAGCACAGCTGATGAAAGGGTATGACAGAGCAGGTGGTAAAATCCATGAAGGATTGCTTTTGCTCACAGAATGAGAATTCCACTATTACTGCCACTCCCATTTAGTTACTGAATCAAATTATCTTACTTGTGTCTTGTTAGTAGCTTATGATTTAAAACAACTATTGGAAGTTGAGGGAAAGAGAGTCTGCTGTAGTGATTTTGCCTAGCAGTTCACCATAACCAATACAGAAGGGAAATAGGAAATAAAGCTGAGGGAAGAGGTGAGGATACAAGCTCCTTCTCACATGCTCATGCAAGAATGAAAGTATTCATGAGCAAATTGTTAATTTATAGTCTATTTAATTCCAAAAGGTATTTGCTCTGGGCTTAGTGGACTATATTTGCCAGTGTTCCAGATTTCTATTGATATATCAATATTAAGTATATTGATATTCCGTGATATAAGTGTGCCCTAAGAGTATCTTACTTTGGGGAGTGGAGTATTGCTGTTACTCCTATCAACTCTCTTTGGACTCCCCTCACCCGAGGCCTACCATATTCTTTTGTGTGGACTGCCTCCATCTCTGGAGAGGCAGTAGGAGTACAGCAGTTCAGAGGGCTGGTCTAGAGTCACCACCTGGTGATCTTGGCAAACTATGTACCCTCCTGAAAATAAGTGTAATCACAGTACTTATTTCTGGGAGTCATTGAGACAATAACAAAGACTTTGAACAACACCTGACATGCAGAACACACTCAGTAAAAGTTAGCTGCCTTCATTTGTTTGCTTGTATTATTCAGGAAGGGGATCATCTATTCATTTGCACTAAATGTCCTTTTGTTAGGTTTAACCCTTTTCAGGCTATCAGACTTATTTTGGCACCCAGTTCTGGATCTAATATTCATGATCCCCAGATTTTTTTCAATTCTGTTAGATTTGATGTATATGACTTTTATATCTAACTTGTCATCCCTGCACATATTGTAAAGGAAATAGCTCCCTAGTTGCGGTAGTCTCTTTAGCCTGCCTTAACAAAGTGCCAAAGACTGGGTAACTTAAAGAATGAAAACTTACGGGGATCCCTGGGTGGCGCAGCGGTTTGGCGCCTGCCTTTGGCCCAGGGCGCGATCCTGGAGACCCGGGATCGAGTCCCACGTCGGGCTCCTGGTGCATGGAGCCTGCTTCTCCCTCTGCCTGTGTCTCTGCCTCTCTCTCTCTCTGTGACTATCATAAATAAAAAAAATTAAAAAAAAAAAAAAAAGAATGAAAACTTACTTTCTCACAGCTCCAGAGACTGGGAAACGCTGGTCAGGGTGCTGTCCTGTTTGGTCTTCGTGAAGGCTCTTCCTGACTTGCAAATAGCCACTTTCTCACTGTCCTCATGCGGCGGGACAGAGCTTTGGCATTTTTTCTTTCACAGGGGCACCAGCCCTATTGTGTTAGGTCCCCATCCTTACGACATCATTTAACCTTTATTATTTCCTCACAGGCCTTCTCCAAATGTAGTCACATTGGGGTAGGGCTTAACATGAATTTGGTTGAGGTGGGGGATGTATAAATTGAGTCCTAATACCAGTGTACTAGAAACAGTCTTCCAGAGGTACCTGGATGGTTCAGTCCGTTAAGCATCTGCCTTCCATTTAGGTCATGATCTCCGGGTCCTGGGATCAAGTCCCACGTCAGGCTCCCTGCCCAGCGGGGAATCTGCTTCTCCCTTGGCCTGCCCCTCCCCTCCAATCAATCTATATCTATATCTATATATCTATATCTATATCTATTCTATATCTATCTTAAAAAAAATAACCCTCCAGGTTAAAATTGTTCAGCCCCTTATCGATTTACCTACATGGTCCTCAATAGTTAGCCCAAGATTCTCCTGTTTATCCACCAAGACATGTGACTTTTTCCAGTGCTTTGCTAAAGCTTGGCTCCCATATCTATGTAGACAGACCCTAACGAATGACAGATCTAATCTGTCAATCTGATAAATTGGCAGGAAAAAAAAAATCTCCATAATTTGCCGTGGGTTGTTTCTTAGGAGCACAGGCTAGAGTATGCTTGCTTTTTTTCCTGGATGCTCACAAACCCACAAGAGTTAGTTGTTTGTTAGTTCCTACCTAAAAATCAAAACCAGTGATACTTTCCCAGTTTAACAAACTTTATCCAAGTAAATTTTCAAATCAGCTCATCAAGATAAGCATTATTCTTTTTAGTTCTTCCTCATCAGAAAAACTTTGCATTCTCTTAACTTGCCCTGTGTTCAGATAAATGTTTGAAATTGTGTAAATATCTTAAGTTTCCTGTATGATTCCTTCTTTGAGCCACTGGTTATGTAGAATATGTTTAATTTCCACATATTTGTGAATTTCCCAAATTTCCTACTCAGGATTTTTCATTTAATTCCATTGTGGTTGGAGAACATACTGCATGTATTTCAATCCTTTCAAAGTTCTTGAGGCTTGTTTCATGATCTAACATGGTCTACCTAGAATGTTCTAGGTGCACTTAAGAATTCTGCTTTTTTCCAGTACAGTATTATCACTGTAATCTCTTGGGTCTGATTGCGTTTCCTTTTTTTATCCTCCATCCATTATTCTACCAGTTATGACAGATGGAGTATTGAAGCCTCCCAACTGTTACTGTTAAACTGCCTCTTTTCCCCTCCAATTCTGGCAGTTTTTGCTACATGTATTTTGGATCTCTATTGTTGAATTCTCGATGGATTGAGCCTTTTATTATGGAAGGTCATCCTTCATTGTCTCTGGTAACAGATTTTGTCTTTCAGTCTATTTTGTCCAATATTAGTATAATCACCTCAGTTCTCTTTGTTACTGTTTGCTTGGTCGGTCATTTCCCATCCTTTTACTTTTAACTTGTTTGTGTCTTGTTGTGAATCTGAAGTATGTCTCATAGATAAAATGTAGTTGGATTGTGGTTTTATTATCCATTCTGTGAATGTCTTGCCTTTTGATGGAATTTTATTCATTTATGTTTTATAAAATTACTGATAAGTTTAGAATTTATGTTTGCCATTTTGCTCTGTTTATGTCTTATGTCTCTTTTGTTCTTTCTTGTTACTGCCTTTTGTTTAGATATTTTGTAACATACATTTTAATTCCATGGTTTTTCCTTATAGTATGTTTTTTGAGCTCTTTTTTGTGGTTTTCTTGAAGATTATAGTTAACATCTTAAACCAGTCTAATTTGGATTAATACCAAAAATGGGACTTTCCAACACCAACAACCAGTTCTCTGATTCGCTGGACATGAGCTAAGTCCTATAAGTCAATTCAGTTATTTTTTATTTTTTATTTAAAATTTTTATTTAAATTCAATTAACATATAATTATTATTAATTTCAGAGATAGAAGTCAGTGATTCATACATCTTAAATAACACCCTGTTCTCATTGTATCATGTGCCCTCCTTAATGTCCATCACCCAGTGACCTCATCCCCCCACACTTCTCCTTCCAGCAACCCTCACTTTGTTTCCTATGGTTAAGAATGTTTATGGTTTGTCTCCGTCTCTGATTTTTTCTTTTTTCTTTTTCCATCTCTTCCCCTATGATCCTGTTTCTTAAATTCCATATATGAGATCATATAATTGTCTTTCTCTAATTGACTTATTTCACTCAGCATAATATCCTCTAACTCCATCCATATTGTTACAAGTGGCCAGATTTCATCCTTTCTGATGGCTGAGTAATATTCCGTTGTATATACAGACCATCTTCTTTATCCATTCATCTGTCGATGGACATCTGGGCTCCTCCCACAGATTGTTGCTCTAAACACTGGGGTGCAGATGCCCCTTTGGATTACTACTTTTGTATCTTTAGGGTAAATACCCAGTAGTGAATTGCTGGGTTGTAGGGTAGCTCTATTGTCAACTTCTTTTTTTTTTTTATTGTCAACTTCTTGAGGAACCTCCACACTTGTCCAGAGTGGCTGGTTCCTACCAACAGTGCATGAGGGTTCCCCTTTCTCTGCATCTTCACCAACCTCTGTCGTTTCCTGACTTGTTCATTTTAGCCATTCTGACAGGTATCAATGGTGGTTTTAATTTGTATTTCTCTGTAGCCGACTGTTGGCTCAGTTTAGTTCTGACATTAGCTGGACTTAGTGTAGACCTCACAGGTTAAGTGCTTGGCCCCACAGGACTGCCCCTCCCCACTTCAGATCCAGTGATAAGTCCCAGGCCACTTTTACTTCTGACTGTCTATGAATCAGAGGTTCCCGTTACCCTCTCCTGAGATTTGATGATTTGCTGGAATGACCTACCAAACTCAGGAAGGCATTTTACTTACATTTTCTGGCTTATTATAAAGGATACATTCAGGAATAGCCAGATGGAAGAGACACACACACGAGGCATGTGTGGCACACACGAGGTATGTGTGGAGGTGCGCGTGGTTTCTACTCCTCTTCAGGCATGCCACCCTTTCAGCACTGCTTTGTGCTCACCAATCCAGAAACTCTAGGGCTCATTGTTTGAAAGTTTTTTTGGAGTTCAGTTTCCAACCCTTCCCTTCCTGGGAGGTCAGTGGGTGGGAACAAAGGTTGCAACCCTCTCATCACGTAGTCCTTCTGGTGACCAGCTCCATCTCCAGGCTATTGCAGGGTCCTACCCTAAATCACCTGAATTAGCATAAACAGATATGATCAAAAGCGGTCATGAATCACAAAGAGACTCCACTCCCACCACTCAGGAAATTGTGAGGGTTTTAGGTGCTCTGTATGAAGAACACGGGAAGACCAAATATATTTCTCATTTTACCACAGCAACTTAATTCCAGTAATACATAAAAACTTCACCCCTATGCATCTCTGTTTCCTCCTCCCTCCTTTGTGCTGTTGTCTTATGCATTACATTTACACATTGTAAATCCCTTAACACGTATCTAATTGTTATGTTATCTATTAAATCAGACAAAAATACATTTGTATTCTTATGTCGGGGCACTTGGATGACTCAGCAGTTGGGTGTCTGCCTGCGGCTGGGTGTGATCCTGGGATCCCAGGATCGAGTCCCACATTGGGCTTCCTGCAGGGAGCCTGCTTCTCCCTCTGCCTGTGTCTCTTCCTTTGTCTCTGTCTCTCATGAATAAATAAATAAAATATTTTAAAAAATGCATTTATATTGTTTTATGTTTACCTATATGGTTACTTTTAGTAAGCTGTTTTTTTTTTTTTTTTAAATGTGAGATTTGAGTTACTGTCTAGTGTCCTTTTCATTTCAGCCCGAGGGAATGATTCTCTTCAGTGTTTCTTATAAGGTAAATCTGCAACAGGATTTCTCAGCTTTTTGTTGCCCTGAGAAATTTTTGATTTCACCTTCATTTTCAGGAATGGTTTTGTTGGATATAAAATCTTGGTTGGCACTCTTTCTTTCAGCGCTTTGAATGTCATCCATCTGCCTTCCTGGTCTCCAGGTATTGGATTAGAAGTCAGGTGTGAATCTTAATAGGAATCTCTTGTGTGTTATTGGTTGCAGTTTCTTTTCTTTCTTTCTTTTTTTTTCTTTTTTTTAATTTTATTTATTCATGAGAGAAACAGAGAGAGAGGCAGAGACACAGGCAGAGGGAGAAGCAGGCTCCATGCAGGAAGCCCGACGTGGGACTCGATCCCAGGTCTCCAGGATCAGGCCCTGGGCCGAAGGCAGCGCTAAACCGCTGGGCCACCCAGGCATCCCCCCTGGTTGCAGTTTCTTATTGCTTTAAAGGTTGAGGGGTGCTTTATCAGTAGTCTGTCTATGGTGTGTCCAGGTGTGGATCTCTGAGTATTCTATTTGGAGTTTTTTTTTTTTTTGTTTGTTTGTTTTTTTGAGCTCAGATACTATTTGGTTTATATTCTTCCTGCCCCTTCTGTCTCCCTTTGCCTTCTGGGGCTCTCATCATGCAGACTCTGGTGTGTGTGGTGGCATCCCATAGGTGTCTAAAGCTCTGTTCATTTTTGTTCACTCTTTTATCTTTCTGTTCCTTAGACTGGGTAATATCAGTTGACCTGTCGTCAGGTTCACTGATTCTTCAGCCTGTTCAAGCTGCTGGCAAACCCTTCTAGTGAATTTTTATTATTTTACTTTTCAACTCAGAATTTTCTATTTCTATTTTCATATTTAAAATAGCTTAAAGTGTCTAGAACATCCAACATCTGCCCTTTGTCACAGACAATTTCTCTTGACTGATTCCCTCCTTCACCCCTAGCCCCTAGATTGCTAATTGTTCCTTGTGTCTTTGCACACTTCAGCGGTTTTTCTAGAATAAACACCCCTCAGATCATTGGTGCCTTTGGTTAACTTCCAAGTTTTAAAAAGTTTCCTTTTGATAATTTAGCAGTGTTGTTGCTTTTTATTGAGTAGTTTGGCCATTTCAGATGGATTTTCTCTAAATGACCCTTTCTGTAAGTGATTGAGTCTTTATCTGAGTCATGGTTCTTGATTAAAACCAAAGCACATACTAACCAGTTGGTTACTATTTATAGACATTCTTAGATCTGTCTTCAAAGAAATACTATTATGTTTGTTTTGATGTAATTACTGGTCTGACAAGAGATGAAGATTCAGTTAAGAAGTGGTTAGTACTTTTTGCCTAGAACTCTCAGAGGATGTGAAAATGGGGTATATACGATATACTTCTGAACTGATAGTAATTGAGATGATAGGAATCCACACAAGGGAGGATCTAACCTAACATTTAGGTTAGAAAGTCAGAAGCATTTCACAAAGGGAAGTGGAACTTGAATACATCACGGTGTTGAATCAAAAGAAGAGAGGAGAGAGATTGTCCAAGCTAAGGGTGTGACATTAGCATCCTGGAAGAAAACAGGAAGCACACATCTGCCCTTCTGCTTCAGACAGTTCCAGTTTTGTTTTGTTTTGTTTTGTTTTGTTTTGTTTTTACTGTAGAATGATGAAAAATAAAGACAAATAGGTTGCTGATAGATTCTAGAAGTGGCAGCTGATCAGTCTAAAAATTATTAGACTGATTAAATATCAGTAAATGAAGTGTTAGAAAAAAAGGAAGTACCTTGTTTTTGGCTGTGTTATCTTGCAGACAGGATTTAAAGTTGGTAAATTTCTGCTGAATTGCCAAGTTTTAGGTGTTGAATATGTGAAATTTTCCAATATTTTTAGGTGTCATTTGCCAATGCTGTACATCGGATTAGAATATGGATTGACCAATAACTCAAAATTGGCTGAAAGATTCTTTGGCCAAGCACTAAGCATTGCCCCAGAAGACCCATTTGTGATGCACGAGGTTGGTGTGGTTGCATTTCAGAATGGAGAGTAAGTACTGAAAGGCCGGGAGCCCTTCCATTTTCCTTCTATAAATGAAGTTAAATCTCAGTCACTAGAGGTTTTACTCTCCTCAGTGATCTTTCATTAGATTTTTGTTTTTAAATATACCATTTTAGGAGAAGGAGGTGGGCAGTTAAAAAAAAAAAAAGAAAATACAAAGTGTTATCTTAGATTTGTTTAAAAATACTCAACAGGATTTGGTTTCCATGGACATGCGCTGCCACAAGCTAATAGTTCCAGGAGCAGGAAAATTGTTGCTGAAGGTGAAGGGTGGCCTTAGGGTTGCTTGGAGGCATGGCAGACCCCTTTGTCATCTTGTTGATTTGGGAGCTGGAGTCTTACATTGGAGAAGGATTTCCCACAATTGTGAAACAAAAATGCTCGTTTAGTTGCTAGTTAATCCAAAAATTAATCAGAATGGCTCAGTCTCAGAGTTTCCTGGTCATCTGAGGCAGTCCTGCATCCTTGAATATTTATAGAATAAGTAATTCAGCGTTATATTCTAAAGAGAAAAATATTTGAGTGCTTCGCACTAAATTATACATAAATTTAAAAACAATAAATCAGTACTACTGTAATGTTTTTTTATGGCACCTGTGTGTATTCTAAAAATTGGATTATCTGGTATATTTAAGAGCAAGTTTGAAGCTGTTTTAAAATAATATACAGGGCAGCCCGGGTGGCTCAGCGGTTTAGTGCCGCCTTTGGCCCAGGGCGTGATCCTGGAATCCCAGGATCGAGTCCCACATCAGGCTCCCTGCATGGAGCCTGCTTCTCCCTCTGCCTGTGTCTCTGCCTTTCTCTCTCTCTTTCTTTGTCTCCCATGAATAAAATAAATCTTAAAAAAAATAATATACATCATCATATATAATGATTTAATATGTAGTCCATTGATTTGTAAGCCAGAGTCAGCTCTCCTAGCACTTACACATTTGTAGACAGACGTATGTTCCTAGCTGAGGTCAGAGATGACATTCTGCCTTCCTATTTCTGCACCCATACTGTAAATGAGCATTTTTTTGTGCAGTCTATTATTTTGTGCTACATTTTCCACATTTGTATGCTTCCTGTTGATGATGTTACTATTATAAATGATCCCCAAGCCTGGTGTTGACGTGCTGTTTGTGGCCCTAATCATAGGAAGGCTGTGATGAGCCTGTAGAGAAAGTACCTGTGCCAGATGCGCTTCTTGGCTGGCCATGTTCAGTGTTAGCATGTGGAAAGCAGGTTATATGTTGGACAGTTGACCACAGGTTTGTAGGAACCTGACCCTATATTTCTGCCAGGAGCCATAGTTCAGTATTTGCTAGAACACTGTTTACAGTGACTTTATGGAATATAATTACCAGGAATCATGAGAATTAACTCTCTCTCTTAAAATCTTGATCTCTTACAATATTAATGCCATAAAACTATCTGACCTTTAAATTTGAATTTTAATAAACTGTTTATAGAAATTTACTTCATTTTCCTTTCATTTTTTAACCTCATTTTTTCTTACAATGTTTATACTTGCTAATTTGGAATAATCTGTAAACTTTCCCTTCTATTTTAGATGGAAAACGGCAGAAAAATGGTTTCTTGATGCTTTGGAAAAAATTAAAGCAATTGGAAATGAGGTATGCTATGTAATACCTGTAACTCAAGTATGTTTGCTGTTGAATGAGAATGTTAATATGGACAATCTGTTTTGCCTGGAAGACAATGGGCTAAAATTTATACTGGCAAATGGCTTGTTAATATTTGGATTTCAGGCACTTATTTTGCTACATGGTATAAAATGAGTGTGTTTCTAATTGAAAGGGTAGGTGTGGGCTCTTTGCTTTGTTAGAGGCTGTAGTTTTGATTTATGGGAATAATCAAAATGTATCTCATGGTTATTTGATATAGGGAATATGTGGTAGTGAACAGTGGTAGACACTGTACCATCTAACATAAGATGTCCTTCTCTGGACCTGAGGAGCCTCCTCTTTGATTAATGAGTAAATATATAGACCATGTATCACTTTGTTCAGACCTATCATGGCTTTTCCTTACCTTGTACTTAATACATATTTAGACCTCTCAGTGTTTGAAATATTTAACTAGGTCTTCCCATATGAGATGTATGCTCATAAATTAACTTTCCAGCTAGTTTGGATGTATATACATGGGTATTTTAAAATAATAATGATGTTAGATATTATCAATTTCTGTAGGTAAAGGATTTGCATATTGGTACTCTTCTGATTCTTGATTCTTTTTATTTACATCTATTTTATTTTATTCTGATTGCCACTTCCCATTTTCACTCTGTTCCTTTTCTTACTTATAGATCACATCTTCCTTGGCTGTCGGTTCCTTTTTACTGACACAGACACAGCTCTCTCTGGACCTGTGCCAGTTGACAGTCCACTTGCCCCTTTAAACACAGCTTTATCTATTTTGGTCTTTTATTTGTCCTGTGAATTTAAAACACCCTGTTTCTGTGTGTTGGTATGTGTATGCATGTAAAACAGGTTCTTGAACAGCTCAGTCTTGGGCAGCCTGGATAATGTCTTTTGTTAATATGGGATTGTCACATATCACCTTGCCAATTTTTAGAGTTGGATACCTTAAAACCTTGCTACTTTAACTAGACCAACTGCATCAGCTTCACCTGGGAGTTGGTTAGAAGTGCACAATCCCAGTTCCACTGAGTCACAGTCTGCAGTTTTAGCAGGATCCTGAGATGATATGCACAAAAGTTCAAGCCCCACTGTCACAAACCACACTTAGAGTTGGAACTGTGTTTTTTGATGATCTGAGGACACTGGATTCTTAAGAGAAATTTACAGTAATGGCTTTAAGTACAAATGCACAATACTATTAAACTGATAAAATGCCTATTAGAAAGTTACTTGAAAAGAGGGAGATATTGTTTGTCCTCAATTATTAACTACAGCAAATGTCAAAATAGCCACAGGGAAGCAATGGTTCGTAAGGATCAGAAAGAGTTTGTTTTTTGTTCCCATGGGCTGTACCTCCTAGAGTCAGGCTAGGGAGCTGGAGCGTGTGGCTGGAGTCCAAGCTGTTTCTGGCTAGCTTGGACTGACTGAGGTGTGTTGATTGTGTCCTAAGCTCTGAGTGAGATGTTGGGAGGCAATAGGAAACTAGTGAGATAATTCCTGCCTTTAGACCTGTTGGGGATTACAGATAAGTAAATTGCAATAATTATACAGTGCACAAAAAGGGCTGTGATTGAGCAAATAAAAGTGCCCATACAGAGGGGCCAGTAACCCAGACTTGAGGATGGACCAAGAAGGCCCCTTGGATATGGCATCTTAAACCTCCTAAAACAGGAGCAGACATCAGCCAGGCACAAGTGAAGAGAAAAGGTCATAGAAGGGATAGAGAATGGCATGTACTGAGTTGGAGTGAAGCCAGTACAGCTTGGAGTTTAAGTTCATAGAGAATATCGAGGAATGGAGCAGAAGGTTAAGTGTGGATCATTAAGGGCCTGGTATCTTATCCTGAGGTGGTGGAGTGCAGATAAGACTTGTCACATGGGGATTGGCGTCACACTGAGGTGTCCTAGGGGTTAAGGATGATGTGGACGCCAGGCATAAGAAAGCAGGCACTCAGAAGGGCTGGAGGTTGGGGAACAGGGATAGTAGGACAAGGGATAAAAGGTTAGGGGGTGACACACTGGATTTGCAGTGTTTGTGAGCTTTGTAAGTAGGAGTATTTAGTGGGCAGCTGGAAAGCTCTGGGCTAGAAATACAGAGGTTGAACTACTTTAGCATAGAGGGGCTCATTAACAAAGTGGTGTTAATAAAATAATAGCATCCTCAGGAAGTCTCTTTAAATAGGAAAGAAAGAGAATCCAAGAAATACTCTGCTTTGTGCTGTGTAGGCTCCGGGAAAGAGGGCAGCCTGCACAGGTGCGGGTGATGATCAGGTGGGTCTGGCTGAAAAATGCATCTGTGAGTCATGGCTTTGATGATGCTTTGTTTTAGGTAACAGTGGACAAATGGGAGCCTTTGTTGAACAACTTGGGGCATGTCTGCAGGAAGCTTAAGTAAGTAAAGTAGAACATTTTCAGAAATATTCTTTTTTACTAAGTTTATTTAATTTTGGGCAGCCTTGTCCATATCTTTTTTGTTTGTTTGTTTTTAGGATTTAAAATTTTTAAGTAATCTCTACACCCAATGTGGGGCTTGAGCTATGACCCCAAGATCAGGAGTTACATGGTACACTGACTGAGCCAGCCAGCCGCCCTTTAACTTATTTTTATTTTGAGATCTTCCAACTGTGTACTTTGCTGCTCAGATATAGCAAGCATCAAAATAATTATCTATAGTGGCTTTTGTTATTTCTTTATTTTTATATTCTGGTGGTACATTTATTCTAGGAATTTGAAGAATTATAATAACTTTTCTTTTATCAAAAAAATTGGTGTTCAAAGTTAATTTGGAAGAATTAGGATAGTAGGGTTTAGTTAAAACCCTACTTTTTTTCTCTAGATACCAGTTCTATGGTATGATAAGCAGCAGCATTTGAAAAATAACTCTTTGGTTAAATAAGTTTGAGGAACTCTAGGCTACTCAAAATAGAATAGGCTTTTCTGTTTCAATATATCTTGGAGTCTTTACTATTTATTAGGAGCTGCAGCATTTCCCAAAGTTTAGTGAACTTTTTTTTCACAAAAGATTTACAGGCAGGTATTCCAGGGAACTTTGGGAAATGCTGTCCCAAGTAACTTGTTTGGACCTTAAAGCAAAAATGTTTGGTTGCTTTTAACCACCTGTGGCGTGGGAGGTTTGTCTCGCCACAACGGAGGGCTTGCAGTATAGTGGGGTTCTGGCTCATCTTGGGTCCCTGCTGGAGTGGCCTTGGCTGGCTGGCTGACTGGTGGGTGTCCAAGTACGCAGTGCTGGATGTGAAGAACCATTACCAGTCTAAACTGTTACTCTGATGTCCCAAAGTCTTTCTGATGTTCTTACATGGATGACCTAACAACTGAATGCTTTCACTGTACCTACTAATTGTTTTTTCTTCCTTCCCGATCTCCCTGCTCCCAACTCAGTCTTTCATCTTCTCTTACAGAAAGTACACTGAGGCCTTGGATTATCACCGTCAGGCACTGGTGTTAATTCCCCAGAATGCGTCCACCTATTCTGCCATTGGGTATATCCATAGTCTGATGGGCAATTTTGAAAATGCTGTTGACTATTTCCACACAGTATGTCTAGTTAACATTTACCGCCTTTTAAAAATTTTTTAATTTTTTTACCGCCTTTTTTTTTTAAGATGTTTTCTAGGCAATATTGGGAGTGTTTGTTTTTTCTAGGCAGTGTTTATTTTGCCATCTTAAAGTTCTTCAGACGACCTTGTGCTTTCTTCTTTCCTTTCAGAGAAAAGCATGTGTGTGTTGTGCAATACTCATCCAACTGCAGATAAATGTGAGACTTGTCCTAAGTGTGCAGTGAGGCAGACATGTGTCTGTGCTATTTGTTGACCTAAGCAGGAGAAAAGAAATTTAGGATTTAGAATTAATTCCCTTAGTTACTTTGTTCAGTGAACGAAACAGTCTGTGTTCATCACAAGGAAAGAATTTCTCCTAAATTCACATGCTGTATCTCACCAAATATAAGACACCATTAATAAGCAAGTTGCTCCCCCCTCCCCCCACACACACATTCAGACAGACACAAATAAACCTTTCAACTTTTTTTTTTTTTAAACCTTTCAACTTTATGTAATTCTAATCTCTCAGTTTTTAGGTACTTAGAAAAAGTGCTCTTTTTGAACAAATGAGGACATAGATTTTCATCAGGAATCACTCTAGTATCTACATAAAAAAGAAAATATATGTGAAACAGATACTTATAGCACTCTATTCTTCACATTCAGAATTTGGTTCTTTTAAATCACTTTTGCACCAGGTGGTCAATGTCTCTGCTTTCCTGGTGCCAGTATACACACCCTGTTCTTTACTTGTGTTTCTCCCAAACAAAGACATTGGCTCTGCAAAGCTTATTCTGCCAGAAAATGTCAACAACAGGTTTTTAGACAAGAATGGCAGTTCCTGTATTTTTGAGTGTTCATATGGTTTGTGGTCTAGTCTATATCTTCATGGTTGCCACATCTAGGCTGCCCAAACAGGCCACCATCATCATGGCTGTGGCCAGCTGACAGCAGTAGTAAGAAACCACCAGATATTTAAGGCATCGAAGTTCAGAAATGTTAGAATTGGGGGGGGGGGGTGTTGTGTGTGTGTCTTAGAATCAATGAAATAATGGTATTTGAAAAGAAAGATAAAAATATGAGAAAACACATAGGGTTGGTTAAAGATTTTCAGGTGAGATCAAGTCCTAAAAGTGCCACTATGATAATGAGAATACTGAGCTAGTAAGAAGTGTGGACTAGCAGCTTTTCTGGTTTGTGTGATCTTTCAAATGTGTACGTTTGAAGATTGTATAATTTACCTCTGTTCTGTGATATAATTAATCCAGAAGGTTTAGAAGGCTCTATATTGAGATATGATTTTGAAAATCTTTTTTGGAGGAGTGTGATTTCAAACATAAAAGAGAATGGTGTAAAGACCCTCCACATGGCCTTCATCCAATTTTAGAAGACATCAATCAACTTGTGGCTACTCTTGTAGCCCTCCTCCCCTACTCCCCCTAATTCCTTGGAGTGTTTTGAATTGAGTCCTGCAGGAATATTTTTAAATGAAAGAGGAGATACATTTTCTTGTAATAACCATGCTGCATCTTTTCTGGCAGGCCCTTGGTCTTAGACGAGATGATACATTTTCTGTTACAATGCTTGGTCATTGCATTGAGATGTACATTGGTGATTCTGAAGCTTACATTGGTAAGATTATAATTATTCTAATTGACATTTTATTCAATTCTTTAGATTGTTGTATATCTCTGTTTAGTTTTCTCAAATCTCATGTAAGGTTCTCAGTTTATCTTTCTAACTATTTAACTATATTAATATCAAGAAACTCCATTTATATTGTTGGAATAATGCTGTAGGAATTAATGACTCATTAAGTATTTGTACAGTTTAAAATTGAATACTCGGGGGATCCCTGGGTGGCGCAGCGGTTTGGCGCCTGCCTTTGGCTCAGGGCGCGATCCTGGAGACCCGGGATCGAATCCCACATTGGCTCCCGGTGCATGGAGCCTGCTTCTCCCTCTGCCTGTGTCTCTGCCTCTCTCTCTCTCTCTGTGACTATCATAAATAAATAAAAAATTAAAAAAATAAAATAAAATTGAATACTCAGTATATGCAAAATACTATTACAGAGTACATGTAGAGTGCTGTTGTGATATAGGAGAAAAAAAATCTTGGAGACTTTTATTTTCGAATAATTTCTAATATATGAAAAGGCTCTGGCCTTAATACTTTGTAAAATGAGGCTTATAGCATATTAACTTTTAAACTTCAGTGGAATATTAAGTTGGCTTACGTTCACATTATAGTGCAATGTAATTTAAATAATTTTTTGGTAATAAGCAAGTCTTAAGATAAATCTGGATAGAATGCTGCACTTGGGCACTCACTTGGTTACAAATTTTGTAAGGTAACAAGGGTATGGTGAGGTTAAACCTTGAGACAATGTAAAACCATGAGAAAAAAATGTTAATTTAATTAGGCTTCAATAAAATGAACTTCTGTTCATTAAAAAGGCAGGTCATAGACTGGGAGAATTTATAATTTGTAGACTGTCAAAGAACTTGTGTTTAGAATACAAAAAATCCTATAGCACAATAAGAAAAAGTTAAATAAGAAATGGGTTCATATTATACTACATATTAACTAGAATTTGAATAAAAATTTGAAAAGGAAAAAAAAAGATCCAAAATGAGCAAAATATTTGAACAGGAGCTTCACCAAAGAGGATATCCACTGAAGCAAATGAATATGCTCAATATCGTTACATAATCATGGAAATGAAATTATAAAACCATTCTGAGATGTCACTGCATACCTGCCAAACTGGCTATAGATAGAAAATACTAATAATGACTAATGTTGGTAGTGATACGGAGCAGCTGGTACTCCTGTGTATTATTGGTTGTCGGTGGACTACATACAGGTAGAGCTACTTTGGAACACTGTTTAACATGTCTGCTAAAGTTAAATAGGCCAATTAAATCCATTATGTGTTGCTGCCTGATGAATCACTCCAACCGACAAGGATGTATTAGTTCTCACAGCTCTCTAGGTTGATTGGTGGTTCATTTGTTGGTCTCATTCATAAATGCAGCTGTGGTCAGCGGGCACTTGATGGGCTGACAGTCTAAGATGGCCTCATGCATAGATGGGGACCTCAGCTGACACTGAGAGCTGGGCCTCGTACAGGTCTTCTATGTCAGGCTTCTTCATAGTGTGGAGATCTCAGGGTTCTAAGGACAAGAATGAAAGCCTCAAGACCTTTTGAAAGCTGGAAGTGTCACAAAATCACTTCCATCACATTTTGTTCAGTGTAGGTCACGTGATTGAGTGCAATGTCATCACGGGTGGGGCTAGGAGGTGTGGTTCATTGGGGTGTTAGGGTGGCAACCTGCTACGCTGCTCTTAGGATGTAGTAATTCTCCCAGGTGTGTGCCCAGTGGTATAGGGGCCTCAGGAAGCCAATGCTCACACACAGGATTGTTTCCAGCATCTATGTTCGTAATCACACCTAACTGGAAATAACTGAATGTCTACACGTATGTAGCAGAGGAGAAAGGAATGCTAGCAAGCTTACCCAGTAGAGTACTACACACTTAAAAAGACCATTAAGTCATGTTGTAACATAGGTGAATCTCCTACATTTTGACAAAAAGAATATACGCCAATTATTTATTATTTATTTATTTTTTTAAATTTTATTTATTCATGAGAGACAGAGAGAGACACAGGCAGAGGGAGAAGCAGGCTCCATGCAGGGAGCCCGATGTGGGACTCGATCCCGGGTCTCCAGGATCAGGTCCTGGGCTGAAGGCAGCGCTAAACTGCTGAGCCACCTGGGCTGCCCTGAGCTGTGCAGTACACAGTTTTACTAAGTGGTGGAGGGAGTGCTGTGTAAACATGGAAATGATGGATAAATGATGGAGTGTCTTACTTTATTTTCCTTGTGGTGTTTCTTTTTAGGAGCAGACATTAAAGACAAATTAAAATGTTATGACTTTGATGTGCATACAATGAAGACACTAAAAAACATTATTTCACCTCCGTGGGATTTCAGGGAATTTGAAGTAGAAAAACAGACTGCAGAAGAGACAGGGCTTGTGCCCCTGGAAACCTCACGGAAAACCCCAGATCCCAGACCTTCTTTGGAAGAAACCTTCGAAATTGAAATGAATGAAAGTGACATGATGCTGGAGACCTCAATGTCAGACCACAGCACATGACTGCAGACAGGTCTCAGTTCCATTTTGTCCAGGGGGAGGTCACGGTTTCCTCATATCCTTGTCCCATCTTCAGAAATCCCCACTTGTTAACACAAATGCAGACGGCACTTCTCCACTGAAGAGTGGAGACATGCCAAGAGGCTGGACCATACACCTTTGGAGCAGATATTTTCTCGTCCCAAAAAGCAGTTTTGTGTAGAGGAATAAAGAGGTAAATTGTGTATTATGTCTTTTTTTTCATTTTTCAACAGTGTTTCTTTTGGACTGATTTTAGGTTTTTGAAAAAGCTACAAAAGGTTTCTCCCTGTTCACGTCTTATGTGACCGAAGAATCTTGTCATAAAAAAGAAATGAATGTTGGGGATCCCTGGGTGGATCAGTGGTTTGGCGCCTGCCTTTGGCTCAGGGCTTGATCCCAGGTTCCTAGGGTCCTGCATTGGCTCCCTGCGTGGAGCCTGCTTCTCCCTCTGCCTCTCTCTCTGTGTCTCTCATGAATAAATAAAATCTTTAAAAACAAAAAACCAAATGCATGCCTATACTCCACAAGTAAAGCCACTCCAGGCTTAACTTGGATTTCACTTTTTGTCCATTAATGTCCTCTCAGCTGTGACCATATCCCAGGCTGCTCTGGTCTTTCATGACCTAGATGGATTGCAGAGGACTGGTTAGTTATTTTGTAGAATGTCTCTTGATTTGAGTTTGTTTGATGTATTTGTCATATTGGACTAGGGTTCTTGGTTTTGGGAAAAAAGTACCACAGATGTGGACAAGGTACCTTTCTTACCACATGTCAGGGGTCACAATATCAACATGACTTATCACACATGTTGTTAATATTGATTACTTGGTTGCAGTGGTGTCTACCATTGGTTTTTCCACTATAAAGTTACAGTTTTTCCCTGTCTGTAATGCATGGTTTAGAAGCAAATTATGAAGTAGTTTTTGTTTTTAGGACCAAGAGGTTTAAGCTCCACCCTCTGGAGGGGAGATATTTATACATATTATTTTGGAATTCTTGTGTAATGCAAATTTGTGTCTCCTATTTATTCAACCATCTGTGTGGACTCATGAATATATATTTTTACATTTTAGGTTATGATCCTATACAATATTATTTTAGGGCTTCAGTTGTTTCGGCATTGCCCATTGGGAACTCCTTCAGGTTGGCTCCTATCTCCTTGTGATATACCCCCATCCATTTTTCTTTTTTTGTTTTTCTTCTGGTAAAATATACATAACATGAACTATGGACTTCAGTTAATAATAATGCATCACTAATGATACAAATACACCAGTGCAAGGTGTGGATACAGGTGTGGGTGGGGAGTACTTGGGAATTGTGCCTTTTGTAATCCTAAACTTCTCTAAGAAATAAAGCATGTGAGTATGTGTTTACAGATGGACAATGATAGCCATCTTAACCATTTTTTTTTCAAAGATTTTATTTATTTATTCATGAGAGACACACACAGAGAGAGAGAGAGGCAGAGATACAGGCAGAGGGAGAAGCAGGCTCCATGCAGGGAGCCTGACGCGGGACTCGATCCCGGGTCTCCAGGATCAAATCCCGGGCCGAAGGCGGCGCAAACCGTTGCCCCACCGGGGCTGCCCTGTCTTAACCATTTTTAAGTGTACAATTCAGTGGCATTTATTTCCAGTTTTTTTCATCATCGCACATTTTGTACCTGGTAAGCATTAACTCCATACTCATCCCTCCTGCTAGTCCCAGATAACCTCTAATCTACATTATGTCTGAATTTGCTTATCTAGACCATTTCATATAAGTGGAATCAGACAATATCTGTCCTTTTGTGTCAACCTTACCTAGCGTTTTTTTTTTTTTTTTTTTTTTTAGATTTTATTTCTTTATTCGAGATAGAGTGTGATTAGAGACAGCATAAGCACAGTGGAGGGGCAGAAGGAGAGGGAGAAGCAGACTCTCCACTGAGCAGGGAGCCTGACATGGGGCTCATCGCAGGACCCTGAGATCATGATGAGAGCCGAAGGCAGACACTTCACTGATCCACCAGGGGCCCCTATGTAGCATATTTTTAAGGTTCATTCCTGTTGTAGCTTTTACCAGAATTTTATTCCTTTTTATGGCTGAGTAATATTCCACAACATCAATCACGTATATCGGATTCATCTGTGGATGGACATTTGGGTTGTTTCCACATTTTGGCTATTGAGAATAACATTGCTGAAAACAGGAGTGTATAAATACCTGAGTCCCTATTTTCAGTTCCTTTGGTATATGCCTAGGAGTGGTATTGTTGGCTCCTGCGCGAAGTTGTACTTAATTTTTTGAGGAACTGACAGACTTCCTACAGTAACTGCCCGTTTTACATTCGCACCACCAGTGCATGATGATCCACTTTCTCTGCATCCTTACCAGAGCTTTTTACTCCTTTGTTATTATAATCATTCTAGTGGGTTGGAAGTAGTAGCTCTTTTGGTTTGATTCCTATTTCCCTGATAACTAGTGATGTTGAACATCTTACCCTGTACATTTGCCATTTGTATGTCGTCTTTGGAGAAATGTGTTCATATCTTGTGACCACTTTTAAATTGGGCTGTTTATCTTTTTGTTGTTGAGCTGTTGGAGTCCTTTACCAATTCTGGATATTCTCAGGGATGCCTGGGTGGCTCGGTGATTGAACGTTTGCCTTTGGCTCAGGGTGTGATCCCAGGGCCTGGCATAAAGCCCCACATCAGGCTCCCTGCTTCTCCCTCTGCCTGTCTCAGCCTCTGTGAGTCTCACGAATAAATAAATAAATCTTTAAAAAAAATTGATATTCTCAGATATGTGGATTTGCACATATCTTCTATTATTTGCATTCTTCTCATTCTCTTGATAGTGTCCTTTGATGCACAAATTTTTAATTTTATGAAGTTTATTTTGTTTACTATGCTTTTGGTATTATATTTACAAAAGTGTTGCCAAATCCAAAGTTACACAGATTTTCACTATTTTCCTCTAAGATTTCTTTTTTAATTTTTCTTTTTTTTCTTTTAATTTTTATTTATTTAGGATAGTCACACACAGAGAGAGAGAGGCAGAGACACAGGCAGAGGGAGAAGCAGGCTCCAGGCACCAGGAGCCCGACGTGGAATTCGATCCCGGGTCTCCAGGATCGCGCCCTGGGCCAAAGGCAGGCGCTAAACCACTGCGCCATCCAGGGATCCCCCCCCCCTTTTTTTTTTTAAGATTTTATTTATTTATTCATGAGAGACAGAGAGAGAGAGGCAGAGACACAGGCAGAGGGAGAAGCAGGCTCCATGCTGGGAGCCTGATGTGGGCCTCGATCCCTGGACTCCAGGATCATGCCCTGGGCTGTAGGCAGGCGCTAAACAGCTGAGCCACCCAGGGATCCCCCCTTCCCCCCTATCTGAATATTGCTATTGTTACATTCATTGTTTTTATTCATTGTTCCCATTGATTTATAATTATTGTTTTAATCATTTGCCTTTTAAATTATACAAGAAAAAAAAGAGTTACAAACCAAGAGTACACTAATACTGGCTTTTATATTTGCCTATATAGTTATCATTACCATTGTTCTTTATTTATTGATAGGATTCCATATTAGTGTTTAGCATTCTTTCATTTCAGGCTGAACAGCTCCCTTTGGTATTTTTTGAAGGGCACTTGGACCCTTCAGTGACAAACTCCCTTAACTTCTATTTATGGGGGATGTCTTAAATTTCTCCTTCCTTCTTAAAGAATATTTTTGCCAGATAAGAAATTTTTGGTTGACAGTATTTCTTATTCAGAGCTTTATGTCATCTAATAAAGAGGATTATATGCTTCATTTGTTGAAATCCTCGCAGGTCCTCATCCTGATATTGGAAGGTACAGTATCCTACTTTTTGACGGTTCCTGAGACATTTATTCAGAGTATGATTAATGTATTGTACAGAAATGAATTTTCTGGGGGTGTCTGGGTGGCTTAGTTGGTTGGTTATGCCTCCAACTCTTGATCTCAGCTCAGGTCTTGATCTCAGGGTCATGAGTTCAAGCCCCATATACTGGGAATTGAGCCCACTTAAGAAAAAATAATTTTCCTGACATCTGAAATGCTGTCTTAAACACCAAAACTTTATCTTCACCAAAAGTATTCCATATATTCCATATATATCTACCTTAAGGTAAGGCAAAAAAAAAAAAAAAAAAAAAAGGCTGTCATCCCTTGAGGTTACTGAGTGCTAACTCCAGGAGGTCTTTGTAAGGCTCTCTACATTTGAGGAATCTGAATGCACCTCTCATGCTTCCAGGGCCCAGCATCTGGACTGTTCTGTTTCAGCTCTCTCCACAGTGACTGTCAGCTTAATGTAGTAATGCATTTGGATCCTGAGTTCCCTACTGTTTTTTAGACTCAAATAGTGAGGTTTGAGTTTTCATTTTTCTATTCAATGGCTTTTCTCTATCTCCTCTGCCAGTATCACATGTGCCTATTTTTATGCCTTCTGTCTTTAGCTGGGGCTAGAAAATCAAGTGACTAAACTTAAAATAGTTTTCAAATAGGTAAAATGAAGGTATTAATACTGTTTTTACATTTTTTTGCCTTCCAGACCAAAATATTGCTTCACGTAATTTCTTCATTGATCATGTGGTGTGATTTTTTTTTTCTTTCAGGTTTCTGAAAAAGCAGACTCCTGATAAAGGAGCCATTTCCATATTGACAGTGAGTGCTTTAAGAAATAAAAGGCAAAATCCAAGCTGTTTTTCAGATCAGCAGTTAATACCAATGTTTAGGCTTCAGAGTATCAAAGAAAGGTAATGTGTAGTTGTACTGTCAAGTATTTTTCTATTACTACCTAATTTTTACTCTTATAGTTTCCTAAAAAGGCATCCTTTTTGACAACTTCAAAGTGACCATACTGTCATTTTCAGAGGAATATGGGAATGTTATGGTCACTGCTGCTTTAAACCACTGCCATTACCAATTAGATGTGTTTCCAAGTAAGATACAGCCTTTCCTGTAGCCAGCATTTACCCCAGGACCACATTCATGTGTGGCAAAGCACAGTTACCTACTTTACTCTGACATTTGGAGATTATTTTGCTTTTTTTTTTTTTGTCTATAGTGTATGTAAAACAAACGTAAAAACATTTTAACAGGCTTGGTGATATCTAGGAAGCTAGATTTTGTGATGTAATTTTTTATATAAAATCTTAAGCTATTTTACAAGTATATTTCATTTACTAGATCTTGAAATTTGTAAGATTTTTTGTTTACCATTTCTTAGAATCTTGTTAATAACAAGTAAAGAGGGGCACCTGGGTGGCTCTGTCAGTTGGGCATCTGCTTTCGGCTTGGGTCATGATCTCAGGGTCCTGGGATCAAGTTCCGTGTTGGGCTCCCTGCTCAGTGGGGAGTCTGCTCCCCACCCCAGCCCCGGCTCTTACGTGTACTCTTCTCTCTCAAAGAAATAAATAAAATCTTAAAAAAATAGCAGAAACTAAAGAGTCAGAGGGGTCTTTAAAAATGAACAGTGGTGGCTGTTAGCTGGGGAAAAAACATTTGGGTATTTTGCTGGCTAGGTTACAAGAAATACACATCTAGCAAACATGGGAGTGCCTGTAGATGTCAGATGCAGGCCTGGGCTGGGCATACAGAGTTGAATAGAAACCTAGTTCCTGCGTAAGTGGAGTCCCACTTCTCAGTTGGTAGGGAGTCTTCAGCACTGAAACTGTAGAAACTAGTAAGTGGAGATGTGCTCAAGGTTCTGAGGATCTCCAGTGAAGCACCTTGACTGGGATGGTGTTGGGTTGGGGTGAGAAGGTTCAGGAAGGTGGACAGGTCATTATAAGCCAAGGCCACAGTACAAACCATGGCTTCATTGAGGGGGCAAAGTATGGACACAGGAATGTCACAAAGCACTGCGCATGACTGGACCCAATGAGAAGCTGAGGACAGGAGTTCTGTTCTCCATTTGTCAATTTTGGTTTTTGGCTGAGTGATAAAAGAGTGCTGCATTAAGAACAGATGTGAGGTCTAGAATAATTAAAGAGCTGAAATTTTGTACTCTTATAATGAGTTTCCTAAAAAGGCATCCTTTTTGACAACTTCTAAGTGACCATACTGTCATTTCCAGAGGAATATGGGAATGTTATGGTCACTGCTGCTTTAAACCACATGAAGCATGTCCCTAATTTCCCGCGGGCTGGCTAACTGGGCCGATACTTAAGAGGACTGTCAACCAGGAAATAAGAGTGTGTATTTGGGAGCAAAGAATTGCAGTTTCAGGAGCAAAGATCCAGGCGGGGTGGAAGGAAGGGAGGTGCAGTTACAGGAGTTAGGAAAATTTTCTGGGCAGCCCGGGTGGCTCAGCGGTTTAGTGCCACCTTCAGGCCCAGGGCCTGATCCTGGAGACCAGGGATCAAGTCCCATGTTGGGCTCCCTGCATGGAGCTTGTGTCTCCCTCTGCCTGTGTCTGCCCCTCTCTCTGTCTCTCTCATGAATAAACAAATACAGTCTTTAAAAAAAATAAAAAAGAATTTTCTATGCGTGTTAATATATATTGACTGACTACTAATAGTATCTTTAGAAAGTTCACAACTACCAGACTTGTCATCAGGTTGTTCTGCAGACTTCTCAAACACTTGCTTAAAACTGCCATTTTGCCCAGTCCAAAGGCAGAGAAGGTGGTTTCTTTCCAATAGCTGTTCAAACTCGACTTTAAAATCGCTCCAGGGCAGCCCTGGTGGCCCAGCGGTTTAGCGCCACCTTCAGCCCAGGGCGTGATCCTGAAGTCCCGGGATCAAGTCCCACGTCGGGCTCCCTGCATGGAGCCTGCTTCTCCCTCTGCCTGTGTGTCTCTCATGAATAAATAAAATTCTTTAAAAAGGGGAAAAAATAAAATCGATCCAGTAGGGATGCCTGGGTGGCACAGCGGTTTAGTGCCTGCCTTTGGCCCAGGGCATGATCCTGGAGACCAGGGATCGAGTCCCACATCGGGATTCCTGCACAGAGCCTGCTTCTCCCTCTGTGTCTTTGCCTCTCTCTGTCTCTCATGAATAAATAAGTAAATCTTAAAAAAATAAAATCGCTCCAGTCACATCAATCTTTCATTCGTTTAGTCTGAATAAAGTTTAAAAATCAGAGAGTAAAGACCTGCAGATAGGTTGAGAGCGGTATTCTAAAAGATAGTCCAAGTAGGCTCTGTATTTAAAAACTATGGAAACATTCGTGTTTGAATGAACGGTTTCCACATTCTTCACCATTAGCCGCTTCTGCACCTACTTCCTATTCTTACTGCACATTGAAATATTCTATCTGGCAACGATACTTTCCTTTTTACCACCAGAGTTTGTTTTGAGAGCGCGCACAGGCGTGGGGCGGGAAGAGGCAGCATCTGAAGCAGATCCCACACGGGGCTCCAACCTTACACCAGGAGATCGTGAGCTCCCCAAAATCCAGTCCCAAGACTGATTAGCTGAGCCACCGAGGCGCCCCCCATCCCAACTTTTTTGATCAACATCCCTATTCTCTGTATGGAGCTAATTGGAGACAAAAAAAATAAAAAAAAATAACGGCGGGGAGGTACCCGGGCAGCTGACCCGGTGAAGCGGCTGCCTTCAGCTCAAATGAGGACGTCGGGGTCCTGCTGGGCGGGGGGGCGGGGCGGCGGGGGGCGGGGCGCTGCTCCTCCCTCTCCCCCCGCCCCCCCTTGCTTGCGCTAGCGCGCGCGCTCTGACCAGTAAAATCTCAGAAACCAATGGAAGTCGCGGATCCCCTGTGAGCGACCTTATCGCACGTCTCCAGGAGGACCCCTAGGAGCTGCGGACAACCCGCCGCCCTGCGGCGCACCCAGGGTCGCAGCCGTTGGAGGGCTGAGCACTCCGGGCCGCAGTCGTTCCGTCGGGCGTCCCTGCTGGCACCCGCAGGGCCTGGGAGAAAGGCAGCGTCATGGCAGGAGACGCGAGCAGCCGCGGCACCGCTGTGTCGTGCGCCGAGGAGAGCGCGCGCGCGCCGGGCCCGAGGTGGTCCAGCCCGGTGCCGGGCCGTGCTGCTCGCCGACCGCGGACCTCCCCGGCAAGCACCTGCTGGTCCTCAGGCCACAGCCCAGCGCTCCTCGGGAATCGGTAAGTGGCCGTGAATGCTCTACGAGGCGCGCTCCTAGTTTCCCGCGGGCCGGCTAGCGGGCCGGCTAACCGGGCCGGCTAACCGGGCGAAGCCTCGGGACCCCTCGCCGCCGCCGGGGGCAGGGGCAGGCGGTGCCGGACGCGGACGGTCACGGGCCGGGGGGAGGGGCGGCGGAGACCCAGTTCTCGCGACGTTTGGCGCCGGGCGGGAGGCGCCGGTGGCTTCGCGGCGGGTGCGAGATGCGCTCAGAGAAGGAGGGGGTCGGAGGCCCTGGCGCGGCAGTTCCTGGGCGGGGCCCGGGCGGGAGGGAGAAGCGGTCCGCTGTGGAAGTCCAGTTCCGCCGGGAGTCGCCGTGGCGAGGAGGAGAGGCACGCCCAGGCTTGTCCTTCGGCGGTGGGGTCGGTACGGGCAAACCTCGCGAGGAGAAGACGGTTCTGAGCAAGGTGGGGAAGGGGCGGGGAGTGCAAACCTCGCGAGAGGAGGAGGTCGTCAACCGCTGAGACGAGGGCGGGGGGGGGGCGTGCTTGCAAATGTCGCGAGAAGAGGGATGGTCTGGAACGGGGTGGGGGCGGAGCCGACGGGGCGTGTTCCGGAAGCAGGTGGGCGGGGCCGGGCAGGCCAGCCTTGCGGGATGCGGGGTGGTCCTGAGCAAACCAAGGGTGGGCTCAGGGTTCGGGGTGCGGCAAAGGGATGGGGGCCGCCGGCGGTGTGGCCAAGGGGGCGCGGCTGGGGCGGGGCCGGGGCCCCTCGGCACCGCGGCCAGCGGCCAGACCGTGGCCGTTTCCGCTCGGCCGGACGCGGCCTTTCCCCGCGTGCGTGCGGAGGAAGGACAGCGCCTGGAGCCCGTGTGATCCCGGTGGGGGCTGACGCGCGGAGACGCCGGGCCCCGGGCCGGGGCGGTGCCGGGGCGGTGCCGGGGCGGGGCGGTCGGGCGGGGCTGCCCCGCCGGGGGTGAGGGCCGCAGGCTCGCTCGCGCCCTGCGTGCAGGGAAGTTTTCTTTCTCCTCTCGGACGCCGGCAGCGCGGGTCCCGCCTGCAGCCGTCGGGTTCCCCCGGGAAGGGCCTGTTTTATGCGCGCCCCTTTGTGGCCGCACTGAGCCTTCCAGGCGAACGCGTGGGTTTCTTGGCCTTCCCAAGACCGCGTGTTAGATCTGCCTGGGGCGTCAGGTGATGGAAGCGCGGGAAGGACCAGCGCACCGGCACCCTTTCCGCAGGTGGTCATCCGGCGGCTTCCTCCCAGCCTCACCAAGGAGCAGCTGGAAGAGCAGCTGCACCCACTGCCCGCGCACGATTACTTCGAGCTCTTCGCCGCCGACTGCAGGTGAAGATCCGGGAGCGTCGGTCCCTTGGTGGGAAGTTGTTTTCCCCCGCACGTGCCCAGAATCCGTGCAGGGCTCGCTTGGGGTGATGTCCGAGTAGGCAGGTCATTCAGTTCCTCTAAAGCAGGTTGGAACGTTGCCTCTGCTGGCACCACCGTGGCCTAAGAAGAAAAACAAACACCGAAGGTAGAAACGTATTCCAGCCCCTGGAAACCCTGCGCTCCTCCCACCGCTGCCACCCTACCCCCACCCCACACCTACCAGGTTATTCCTTTTTTTATTCCCTTTTACAGCTTGGTGGAAGGGTGACTCTGAGGACGCTTTAACACTTTCAGATCTCCTTCTATTCGCGAAGAGAAAACCCAGCCAGATTGTGTGATTTTCACTGTGTTTACGACACCTTTTATAATCATTGTTATCCTTTTTATCTCTAGTGTGTGAGTTTGCATTTGTGATAGCCATATAAGGCCTCCTGAGTAAATACCTTTACGTAAAAACTTAAGTCAGCCTATTCAAAGAAAAATATCACTAACAGTGAAATACAAATTTGATCTTAAAAAATAATAGGTGATTTTCAAATGACTAAAGTTGAAGAAAACTGGTACAGTTAAAGGACAGGCCCTGGACTCAGAGTGATTCGGTTGGAATCCCAGTCCCACCTTTTAACTTGCTGCACCTTTTGCACATACTGAATTTCTATGAGCCTCAGTGTTCTCATCTCTGAAATGGATTGAAAGTTCCTCCTAGGAAGGATGTTGGTAGTTGTGAAATACTAACTACCAAATTACCAATAGGAGAAAGGCTTAGTTCTTCTGTAGTCCCCATACCATGTGCTGTAGTTAATAGTCCCTCTAAAGTACATAAATGTGTTCTCTAAGTCAGTGAAGAAGCTCTTACAGGATAGAACTTTTCATTATGAATAAATCATGACTAGGTGGTGTTGGGTCTTGATGTGTGCTAAGGACTAACCTTTGAATAAGCTTTCCTTTGACTTTTCAACCTTGGAAGACCAGTATTTTAACTCTGGTTCTGTGTAGTAGAGATACTGACCTTACATGTCTTTTCCAAGTTATTAAAAAGATTTCCAGTAATGTTTATTTTTCCTTTTTTGCTAAAAAATACCCGGATTGGAATATAAATAATAGTGAAAGGGAATATAAGGGAAGGGAGAAGAAATGTGTGGGAAATATCAGAAAGGGAGACAGAACATAAAGACTCCTAACTCTGGGAAACGAACTAGGGGTGGTGGAAGGGGAGGAGGGCGGGGGCGGGGGGTGGGGGTGAATGGGTGACGGGCACTGAGGGGGGCACTTGACGAGATGAGCACTGGGTGTTACTCTGTATGTTGGTAAATTGAACACCAATAAAAAATAAATTTATTATAAAAAAAAAGAATACTCAGATTGTTGTATTTAGCTGAGAAGTGATTCTTTGGCATATAGGTTTTATCTGAAATAGTTTCTTGTGCCCAGAAAAGAAAAAAAAAAAGCAAAATTAAAGAAGTCTTGCAGTTTTTACAATTTTCATTGTTATCTTTTATTTCAGTCTTTATCCTCATCTCTACTCAAGAGCATACATTAATTTTAGAAATCCTGAGGACATCCTTCTTTTTAGAGATCGTTTTGATGGCTATATCTTCATTGACAGCAAAGGTTGTATCATTGGCTTTTTAGACTCTTTATTATCATCTCAAAGCATGTTAATAAAGTTTTGCTGGAATGTTTGTGAATTATAAGTTTTCAGATACCAACCTTTTTTTTTTTTATTTTATTTGACAGAGTGAGTGTGCGTACACACATACACAAGCAGGGGGAGAGGCAGAGACAGAGGGAGAAGCAGGCTTCCTGCTGAGCAGGGAGCCCAGTGTTGGACTTGATCCCAGGACCCTGAGATCATGACCTTAGCCGAAGGCAGACACTTAACTGATTGAATCACCTCAGATGGTGCCCTCTCAGATACCAATCTAAAACAAGTTCATAAATTTCGATTGTGTTACTGTGCTTGTATGCTTATGTTGAAAATTAAAATTATACCTAAACCAAAGAACTCTAGCAATTCTTTGTAACAGTGACAACCTAATTATCATTGGAATGATGTTTTTCACATAAATGAGTTTTCTAGATAAGTGATCTTCACTTATGTACCCAAACTAAATCACTTTCCTCATGTTCAATAGAAATTTTCTAGGATATGTTATTCATGTACATCTATGTCCTTTTAAACAGTACTCTTGGGGCACCTGGGTGGCTCACTCAGTTAAGCATCTGATCTTGATTTCATAATCTCAGGTCATGATTTCAGGGTTGTGGGATCGAGTCCCATGTCTGTACTGGGGTTCTGTACTGGGTGTGGAGCCTGCTTAAGATTCTTTCCCTCTCCTTCTGTCCCTCCCCACCTCCATCCCCCCCCCCAAGAAAAAAGAAAAACCTAAATCATTATTTTCCAAAATGAATATAGTGGAATTTTAGAATGGCTTTTGCAATTTCTTTTCTGCTAAAGGCCTAGAATATCCTGCAGTGGTAGAATTTGCCCCATTCCAGAAGATAGCCAAAAAGAAGCTAAAGAAAAAAGATGCCAAAACTGGAAGCATTGAAGACGGTGAGTCCCTTTATAAAGACTGGCTTGTGAAACTGCCAAATTAAATATAGTGATCAAATATAATTTCTCTCTCATGTGGGGAGGAACGCGTTTCTTTTTTTCTTTTTTAATTTATAGATCCAGAATATAAGAAGTTTTTGGAAACTTACTGTGTGGAGGAAGAGAAACCTAATGCAAATCCTGAAACTCTTCTGGGAGACATAGAGGCAAAGACAAGAGAACTTATTGGTCTGTTTATTCTTCTCTTCTTCTCTTTACCTTATTGAGATATATATTTATTTCCTTTCCAATTACTTTAAAATTCACACTCATGACAGGTTTACCAGGGATTTAGAGTTTTTTCCAGTTGTAACAAAAATATGGCAACCTGGGAAAATATTTCTGAGCATCAGTTGAAGGAGAGTGCCAGAGCTTTCAGTTACAGAGCTTCCAAAAGAGCAGTGGAGAAGACGTGTGAGTGGCACATGGCCATGGCTTCATACGTGTTGGATTGTGGATGCCCTGAGCAGACATTAGGCTTCCAATGGGAAGGCTTTGCTCCAGCCCAGGGTGGACTGCTTGCACTAGCTGGCAGAGTCCATGTATGCTCTGGCCAGTTGGGTGTGGGAAGAAAGGGACAGAAGGAATCCAGACTTCAAGGAGTATGACTGGAATAGATCAGTGGATGGAAGCAGCATCATTGATGTGGGACAGACTGGGGGAGAAACATTACTGGGAGGAATGCAAGATCTCACTATAGAGCCCGTTAAGTTTAAGAGCTAAAAAAAAAAATTAGAAATTCTAGGACTCTCCACCCTTCTTCCTTTTCCACTTTGCTGTAAATGCCCTTGTATAGAATAGCCACAGAGAAGAACCAGAGTCTTCTACTTATGGGCAGTTTTGAGGCAGTCCTTGGTGGCCAGACACACACACCATCCAGCTCCCATCCCCAGCCCAGCTCCTGGTACACAGTAGGTTTCATAGCATTTTACAGAATGAGTAAGTGTGATTCACAATCTACTAGTCCAAGATGAGGCTAGGGAGCTTTGATCCTGTTTCTGCCTATCCAAGTTTGGATCTTAAGCAATTCAAGGCAGTTTGCCTTTTTCTTTTCTTAGATTTTGGCCTTTAGTGGATTCTTATGATCTAATCTGAGGAGTGAGGGTTAAATGGAAATAGGAATCCCCTCGGAAGTTGCAGGTTAGTGCGGTGTCCTAGCAGGGGCCACAGAGCAGACAGATCTGGGCTCAGTGTCCTGTTCCCTCCCAGGTGGTTGTGACAGTGCCCAGTAGCTCTCTAAGTGCTAACAGTTAGACTGTTGGTTAAATTAGTGTTCTGTTACACAGCCATGCAACAACCTTCTGTTGAACAAATGATACACTTCTGTGGTTTGTAAAGCACTTTCATAAAGTGCTTATGTATTTATGTGTTTACCCTTCACATTGATCTTTTGGGGTAACAAGGCAGGTATTTTCTTCGGAGAAGGGGGAAGGCGGGTGGGGTCTTGGCATCAGCCCCTCCACCCACCCAGTCTTGGTCCTGCTCTTTGCTGATAAATCCAGAACTCCCACGGCGCAGAGCAAGAGTCCTCCTCAATTTAAAGCAGGCTGCCTATTACAGAGGCTGTGCTCATCCTGGGTCAGAGCTCATGGTTAACACAGGAGCCACCCAGGGAGGGAATGGGCTCTTCTTGTCTTGACCCCTGTACCTGGGATGAAATGTGGGCATTTTCACAGCCCTATATCTGGGGCAGAGCTTTCCTGGCAGAAGCCATTTGATACATTGTGTTGAGGTGTTCAGGAGTTCTTAATTCCCTGCCCAAAGTCTCTCTTACAGAATTCCTGATTAGTTCCTGATCTAAGAATTTGAGAAATGTCATGGCCAGTCTCCAAGTTGTTTCTAGGGAATTTTCCTTCCCCCATTTAATCTTAGGTCTTGAAAGAGCTGTAGAATAGACCCAGTCTTCCACCTTCCACCTGTATCCTCAGCTACTGCTATAGGGAACACATTTCTCAGAACCAGTCCCTCTGAGAGGCTATGCCTTGAAGCCCACCATATTTGGGTGCCCCATTCCAGGTTAGGTCAGACACATCTGGGGCCTGAAAGCTGATGATGGAGTTTGAGTTTACAGAGAGGTTCATTCCTGGGTGGTTAGTGCTGCTTAGATGAAGTGCCATGTGAGATCACTGTCTAAACTTTCACATCTGGTTTATTTTGGTTTATGGAGCATATATGATAAGAATCCACATTGCTTAAAATCATTGTCAAGAGAGTAGAAAAGGAAGAAATTTCCAGAATATGTTCTGAATCAAAGTGAATCTATAATGTTATGTAATGTTTAAAATATCTGCAAACATGTGAAGATACTTATAACAATTGGAAAGTTTTTTTTTAATTTATTTTTATTTTTATTTATTTTTTTCGATTGGAAAGTTTAATGCGTTGTACTCATTTTTCTTTTTTTGCTTGTATAGTCTCTTTGTGTTTTTGTTTTTGTGTTTGTGTGTTTTTTTTTTTTTGTATAGTCTCTTTGTAAGTAATATGAAGAGTCCTTGAGAATCAGGAATTTGTTGCTTACTGTTTATAGAGTTGTCAGTACCTCCAAATAACTTGACTTTATAGTGATGGAATAGGAACTCCCTATTACTAATAGGGGATATTAGTATTCCCTATTATTATCCCTATTATTATTAGGGATAATAGTATTCCCCTATTCCTAATAGGGGAATACTCTCTATTCCTAATAGGAACTCCGAGATATAATATATGCTCATCTAAATTTTATGTATATATGTATGTAGTTATTCATTCATTTATTTATTAGATTTAATTTTTAAGCAATCTCTACACCCAACATGGGGCTCGAATTTACAAGCTGGAGATGAGGAGTTACATGCTCTTCTAACTGAGCCATGCTAATTTATTTAAACATTAAATTGAAAACAAGTATTTAAAATGAAGGAAAAATAAATCTTATTTTAGAGTTAAATCTTGCATAACAATTTTTGTGTTTTAGCTAGAAGAACTACACCTCTTTTGGAATATATTAGAAATAGAAAATTAGAGAAGCAGGTAGGTCTGCCCTCTTACCTGATGAGTATCCTTCCTGTCTCTGCCGCGTCCACACAGATCATTTATACACATGCTTTCCCACGTCTCTAGAGGATTCGAGAAGAGAAGCGAGAAGAGCGAAGGAGGAGGGAACTGGAGAAGAAGCGTTTACGGGAAGAAGAAAAGAGGAAGAAGAGAGAAGAGGAGAGTTGTAAGAGGAAAGAGGCAGACAGAGAGAAGAGAGCTGCTGAGAGACAAGTAAGGATTAAGGTAATTTTAAGGAGATAGCTCATTTCTTTTTTCTAAAGCCAGTTCTGCTACAGTTATGCCTTTTAGGTATTTAGCTCTTCCAGCTTGTTTTTTTTTTTTTTAATATTTTATTTATTTATTCATGAGAGACACACAGAGAGAGGCAGAGACACAGGCAGAGGGAGAAGCAGGCTCCTTGCAAGGAGCCTGATGCGGGACTCAATCCCAGGACTCTGGGGTCATGCCCTGAACCAAAGGCAGATGCTCAACCACTGAGCCACCCAGGCATCCTGCTCTTCCGACTTATAAGGATATTTCCAGTTAGCCCTTTTGTTATTATGGTACTGTTTCTCTGGAGTACAACATTGGTTCTCAAACTGTGTTCCCTGTGCCCTGGGGGTTCCTTGGCCATACTGTAGGGGAGGGGGCCCGGCCTCCTGGGTGTGAATGATAGCACTTCACCCAGAGGAACCCCACACTTACTTGTCATGGATTGGGTTTCTGCTTACATTTTCCTTTAGAGAAAAGACTCCCTCACTAAAATGTACACATTTGGAAACCACTGGCTTGGTGTGTACACTGGCTTTTCTAGACAAAGGCTCACTCCTGGAACTGGTTTTTATTGTTTCTTTTACAGTAGTAGCAGTGGTTTCTACACCTCTTGCCCAGTTTCTCCTTTGACGGATATGTTCATTTAGAAGGGTGGGTTAGTGCATAGAAGTTGTTCTTCCCCTGTGTAAAATATGTTGTTCCAGTGTGAGTCAGTCCTTCTTTGTTAGTATTCTGCTCAGATGACCTTATTAAACCTAGATTTCGACCTGATGTGCATCTTCCCTCATTCCATAAACCATAAAGGGTTTGAACTGCTCTTAGGGATTCTTTGAAATTGTATCATAAAAAGAAAGAAAATAAAAGATCAGGACTTTGGGGGAAGATAGAGTAGAAAGGGAGAAGATGGGGAAGAGGTCAGAGTTGCCATAGATTAGTTTCTTTTTTTAAATATATGTATATTACATATATTTTTAACTTCAATTAATTAACATATAACAACATATTACTAGTGCTGATCCATACCACGTGCCCTCCTTCATGTCCATCACCCAGTTACCCCGTCCCCCGACTCTCCTCCCATCCAGCTACCCTCAGTTTGTTTCCTGTGATTAAGAGCCTCTCATGGTTTGTCTTACGCTCTGATTCTGTCTTGTTTTATTTTTCCTTCCCTTCCCCCATGATCCTTTGTTTTGTTTCTTAAATTCCACAGATGAGTGAGATCATACAATAATTGTCTCTCTGATTGATTTATTTCACTCAGCATAATATCCTGGAGTTCTATCCACATCATTGCAAATGGCAAGATTTGATTCTTTTTGATGGCTGAGTAATAGTCCATTATATATGTAGACTACATCCATCATAGATTAGTTTCTGATATGCTTGATCAGAAACATAGTTTCATTATACGTGAGGAGAAAACATGTCATTTCTTCAAGGGAGGCAAAGCTTTTTCTAGGCCTTTGCTTCTAAGTCACTTTCTCCTGAAGGTGGTCATATGGGACTCACTAGCTGGAGGGAACAATTTCTTAACAAAATTCCTACGAAAACACACAAGAATGTGACTGGGTTTTCTGCAGTAACAGCCTCACAGCTCACTGTTTCACGTAACTGGATCTGTTGTTGGTATTTCTTGGCCATTGTATGCTGCTCACTATTGCCATCTGGTGACCCAACAATGGAGGCTCCACCATGGCGCTTGCTTCCGCAGTCCCTTATGATGGGGAAGGGAATGTTTAACACAGCAGATTGTACCCTGGTTCTTAAATCACATGGAAGAGACACAGCTCTTCTGCCCACATGGCATTGGCCATAGCAAGCCACCTGGTGGCACCTAATCTCAGATCGGGAGGCATATTCAAGAAGCGAGCCAGGAAGAGAACCAGAAATATCTGATGAACACACTAATGAATAATTTCTGAAGACTATTTCTGGAAATGCTTCTCTTTAAGTTTAAAGACATTGCCGAACATTCTTGATAAGAGGTCACATCCCTTGACCACATCCCTTGCTGTGAAGACAAATCCTAGATGTGCAAGATGTCCCACAAAAAGTATTTCATAATCTGATGATAACTGATGAGATTGAGGAACCCAACCAAGACTATCAAATAAAGGATGATCCATTCCCCATTGGCAAGAACATGGCAAAACCAGGGTATTCCTCAGGGAAATAACTCTGAGGGGGTGTTTTCTGTTTGTCCATGTGGTTTAGGACCCACAGAACTCTCCCAAGAAAATTATAGCAGCTCAACTTCCTATAACTTGTCATTTCCAGTATAATAAAAATGTTAATATAGGGAAATCTTTAACATTAATTGTGGTTGGGGGACACCTGGGTGGCTCAGCGGTTGAGTGTCTGCCTTTGGCTCAGGGTGTGATCCTGGAGTCCTGGGATCGAGTCCCACATTGGGCTCCCTACATGGAGCCTGCTTCTCCCTCTGCCTATGTCCCTGCCTCTCTCTCTCTGTGTCTTTCATGAATAAATGAATAGATCTTTAAAACAAAACAAAAAAACATTAATTGTGGTTGGAATTCAGCTCTGTCATGTCCAGGCATAGAGTAGTATTTGCATTTAATGCAGATTTTATGGTCACAGATGGAAGCATTTTCTGACCTTCTCTTTGACCTTTCTAAACACATAATGACTAATCTAGTGCCTAATCTTTACACTCTCAAAAGCACTTTTTTCAGTAGCTTTGAGAGTTTTTCAGGAATAATGTTTGAAACTTGTAGCTTATAATTTCAATTATAATTTTAAGACAGAAAATTTTGGAGTATAGCATTTTACTTCTATATTTTATATTATGAAATTAGAGTCCAAAAAAATAAGCCAAAGGAATAAAAAATTAAGTCAGTTAAAATAAACATACACTCCTTCATATAGAAAAAAAAATAAGTCAAAACATAGAGGAAGAGAAAAGGGTATTCTTTTTTTTTTAATATTTTATTTATTTATGAGAGAGAGAGAGAGGGAGGGGCTCCATGCAGGGAGCCCGACGTGGGACCCGATCCCGGGTCCCCAGGATCACGCCCTGGGCCAAAGGCAGACGCTCAACCGCTGAGCCATCCAGGTGTCCCGAGAAAAGGTTATTCTTATCCAAGTCTGGTAAATAAAATCTTAGTGGCAGACCCCAATGACATGAGTAATCAACAGCCTCTGTCTGTGGAGTGTCTGGTATCCTGACATGACAGCACTCACCTGAGCCCAAAGTTTGCCCTTAGTAATCATCTGGGGTCATTGTAGGAATGTCTGATTTACAAATAATTTGGAAAAGTAGGTTTTTTTTTTTTTACCTGAAAAATAAAATTAATGAAGAAATACTAAAAGAGTTTGTATTCATATCACAAAAATACAAATGCAGAGAGAGATCTTCAGGTCTATTTTTTAAAATAAACTGATTCAAGCTGTTTTTATTTTCCTCTGAGGATTCTTTTTTTTTTATTATTAGTTTTTAGCATATAGATCCTTTACCTCTTTGGTTAGGTTTATTCCTAGGTATCTTATGCTTTTGGGTGCAATTGTAAATGGGATTGACTCCTTAATTTCTCTTTCTTCAGTCTCATTGTTAGTGTATAGGAATGCCACTGATTTCTGGACATTGATTTTGTATCCTGCCACATTGCTGAATTGCTGTATGAGTTCTAGCAATCTTGGGGTGGAGTCTTTTGGGTTTTTTATGTACAGTATTATGTCATCTGTGAAGAGGGAGAGTTTGAATTCTTCTTTGTGAATTTGAATGCCTTTTATTTCTTTTTGTTGTCTGATTGATGAGGCTAGGATTTCTAGTACTATGTTGAATAGAAGTGAGAGTGGACAACCCTATTTTGTTCCTGATCTTAGGGGAAAAGCTTCCAGTATTTCCCCATTGAGAATGATATTTGCTGTGGGCTTTTCATAGATGGCTTTTAATGTGCTGAGGAATGTTCCCTCTATCCAGTGCTGGATAATTTCTGAAGAGTTTTGATCAGGAATGGATGCTGTATTTTGTCAAATGCTTTCTCTGCATCTAATGAGAGGATCATATATGGTTTTTGTTTTTTCTCTTGTTGATGTGATCTATCACATTGATTTTTTTTTTTTTTTTACGAGTGTTGAACCAACCTTGCATCCCGGGAATAAATCCCATTTATCATGGTCATGGTGAATAATCTTCTTAATTGGAGAATATTGGATCCTATTGGCTAGTATCTTGTTGGATCCTATTGGCTAGTATCTTGTTGAGAATTTTTGTATCTGTGTTCATCAGGGATATTGGTCTATAATTCTCCTTTTTGGTGGGGTCTTTGTCTGGTATTGGAATCAAGGTGATGCTGGCCTCATAGAACGAGTTTGGAAGTATTCCAAGTATACAGTTCCAAGTATTCGGAGCAGCTTTAGTAGAATAGGTATTGTTTCTTCTTTAAACATTTGATAGAATTCCCCCTGGGAAGCCATCTGGCCCTGGATTTTTGTGTCTTGGGATGTTTTTGATGACTGCTTCAATTTTCTCCCTGGTTTTTGGCCTGTTCAGGTTTTCTATTTCTTCCTGTTCCAGTTTTGGTAGTTTGTGGTTTTCCAGAAATGCGTCCATTTCTTCTAGATCACCTAATTTATTGGCATACAGATGCTCATAATACGTTTTTAAAAATCATTTGTATTTCGTTGTATTGGTTGTGATCTCTCTTCTTTCGTTCATGATTTTTATTAATTTGAGTCTTTTTCTTTTTAATAAGGCTGGCTAATGGTTTATTTATCTTATTAATTCTTTCAAAGAACCAACTCCTGGTTTTGTTGATCTGTTCTACAGTTCTTCTGGTCTCTATTTCATTGAGTTCTGCTCGAGTCTTTATTATCTCTCCTTTTCTGCTTAGTGTAGGTTTTATTTGCTGTTCTTTCTCCAATTCCTTTAGGTACGAGGTTAGCTTGTGTATTTTGAGTTTTTTCCAATTTTTTGAGGGATGCTTGTATTGCGATGTATTTCCATCTTAGGATTGCTTTGGCTGTATCCTGAAGATTCTGAATGCTTGTATCTTCATTTTCATTAGTTTCCATGAATCTTTTTAATTCTTTTCTAATTTCCTGTTTGGCCCATTCATCTTTTAGTAGGATGCTCTTTAACCTCCATATGTTTGAGTTTCTTCCAAATTTCGTCTTGTGATTGAATTCTACTTTCAAAGCATTGTGGTCTGAAAATATGCAGGGGACAATCCCAGTCTTTTGGTATCGGTTGAGACCTGATTTGTGACCCAGCATGTGGTCTATTCTGGAGAAAGTTCCATGTGAGAAAAATGGAACTCCACTTGAGAAAAATGTATTCAGTTGCGTTTGGATGGGAAAGTTCTGTAAATACCTGTGAAATCTATCTGGCCCAGTGTATCATTTAAAGCCCTTGTTTCTTTTGTGATATTGTGCTTATAAAATCTGTCATTTGCAGAAAGTGCCATGTTGAAGTCTCCTACTATTAGGGTATTATGTAAGTATGCCTTTACTTATCTTTTTAATTGATTGATACACTTGCCAGCTCCCACATTAGGGGCATAAATATTCATGATTGTTAGGTCTTCTTGTTGGATAGACCCTTTAAGTATGATATGGTGTCCTTCTTCATCTCTTACTACAGTCTTTGGGATAAACTTTAATTTATCTGATATGAGGGTGCTACCCCAGCTTTCTTTTGAGGACCATTAGAATGGTAGGTAAATGGTTCTCCACCCTTTCACTTTCAGGCTGTAGGTGTCCTTAGGTCTAAAATGAGTCTCTTGGGGCAGCCTGGGTGGCTCAGCGGTTTAGCCCCACCTTCAGCCCAGGACGTGATCCTGGAGACCCGGGATCGAGTCCCATGTCGGGCTCCCTGCATGGAACCTGCTTCTCCCTCTGCCTGTGTCTCTGCGTCTCTCTTTCCCCCTCTCTCTCATGAATAAATAAATAAAATCTTTAAAAAAAATAAAATAAGTCTCTTGTAGACAGCAAATAGATGGGTCTTGCTTTTTTATCCAGTCCAAAACCTGTGTCTTTTGATGGGATCATTTAGCCCACTCATGTTCCAAGTAACTATTGAAAGATATGAGTTTAGTGTCATTGTAATACCTATTCAGTCCCTGTTTTCATGGATTATTTCTTTGGGCTTTGTTATTCTTTTACAAGATCCCCCTTAATATTTCTTGCAGAACTGGTTTGGAGGTCATATATTCTTTCATTTCTGCCTATCTTGGAAGCTCTTTATCTCTCCTTCTATTCTGAATGAGAGCCTTGTTGGATAAAATATTCTTGGCTGCATGTTCTTCTCATTTAGTACCCTGAATATATCCTGCCAGCCCTTTCTGGCCTGCCAGGTCTCTGTGGAGAGGTCTGCTGTTAATCTGATATTTCTTCCCATATAAGTTAAAAAATCTCTTGTCTTGAGCTGCTTTAAAGATTTTCTCTTTATCTTGGGAATAGCAAATTTGACTATTAAATGTCGAGGTGTTGAACAGTGTTTATTGATTGTGGGGGGGCATCCTCTCTATCTCTTGAATCTGAATGCCTGTTTTCCTCCCCAAATTAGGGAAGTTCTCAGCTATGATTTGTGCAGATATACTTTCTGGCCCTTTGTCCCTCTTGGCATTTTCTGGAACCCCAATTATATGTAGATTCTTCCTTCTGAGGCTGTCATTTATTTCCCTTAACCTTTACTCATGGTCTCTTCATTGTTTTTCTCTTTTTCACTCAGCTTCCTTCCTTGCTGTCAACTTGTCTTCTATGTCACTCACTCTTTCCTCCACCTCATTAACCCGTGTCATTAGGATCTCCAGTTTGGATTGCATCTCAGTTAATTGATTTATAACTTCGGCCTGATTAGATCTAAATTCTGCAGTCATGAATTCTCTAGAGTCCTTTATACAATTTTCTGGAGCCACCAGTAGCTTTAAAATTGTGCTTCTGAATTGGCTTTCTGACATCAAATTGTAATCCATATTCTGTAACTCGATGGAAGAGAGTACTGTTTCTGCTTCTTTATTTTGTGGTGAATTTTCCTTCTAGTCATTTTGCTCAGTGCAGAGTGCCTGTATGAGCAGGCTGAGTCAAGAATATCAACCACAGCAATGCCGGGGTGGCTTGGCAGTTAAGTGCCTGCTTTTGGCCCAGGACGTAATCCTGGGGTCCGGGGATTGAGTCCCACATTGGGCTCCCTGCATGGAGCCTGCTTCTCTCTCTCTGCCTGTCTCTGCCTCTCTCTGTGTCTCATGAATGAATGGATAAAAATCTTTTTTTTTTTTTTTTTTTGAGTAGTTAAGATCCTTTTATTGGGGTGGACACAGAGTACGCACTAGTCCATGATAAAATGACTTAAGAGGGATCCCTGGGTGGCGCAGCGGTTTGGCGCCTGCCTTTGGCCCAGGGCGCGATCCTGGAGACCCAGGATCGAATCCCACATCAGGCTCCCAGTGCATGGAGCCTGCTTCTCCCTCTGCCTATGTCTCTGCGTCTCTCTCTCTCTGTGACTATCATAAATAAATAAAAATTAAAAAAAAAATAAAATGACTTAAGAGAAAGATCCGGAAATGCCGACTTCTCCCCCTGGCACACATTCAGAGCAAAGCCTGGGCACAGAATAGGTCCCAGCCAAATCTTTAAGGCCCGGACTGGAGAGCAGGAGCAGGGAGAAAGGCTCCCACCCATGCTGCTGGGCCACAGCAGGGCCCTGGCTCTAGACCCTTGCAGACACGCTCTGTTTTTCCGGAGGAGAACTGGAGGGGGTGGGGGAGTAAAAGGGAGTTCTGGGTAGTGGGGTTTGTGAATAACAATGTTTTTTAAAAAGCATCTACCAACATCACACTACTGGATCTGACATCCCCTTTAACCATCGCTTGGTACATTTTACAGCATAAATAAAAACTCAAGGAAAATAAATACATCGGCTCCTATGAGGTTGGAAGTGGTATGGATGGTCAGGTGTGGGTGGGCTGGTAGGGGCAGGGCAGGGGGCGCTTACACAAGGCGGGCAGGCGAGGAGCAGACAAGACAGGAGGCGCCTGTGGGGGAGTGAGAGTCTTAAGTGTCTTCATGCATGTCCGGGCTATCAGTCGGTGCAACCTTGCGGAGGGGTGCAGAGCTCTCACCCTCAAGGTCCACTTGCTCCTGGTCTCTCTTCTTTGCGGCATTCTTTTTGTCCCATTGCTTATGTAGGTAGAGCAAAAGGATGTTTGTCTTTTCTGTCACAATGATCTGTTCAGATGGGTACTCCCAGGTGGGCAGGTAGACTGAAGGACGCCGGTTCGAAGCTTTGCACACAGAGTCAGCATGAAATCGACTAAAATTGCTTTTGTTGTAGACAGGCAGTCCTTTCAAAAAATCTGCCATTTTCTGTTTCCTCCGTTGCTGCCTCAGCCACCGCCTCAGCCGCCGCCGCCACCACCACAGCCGCCTTCTTAGCCGCCGCCGCACAGTAACCAGATACCATTCTTTAAACAAAAGAATATCAACCACGACCTAAGTAAATTTCACCCTAGATGATTCTGACAAGGTCAGAGACCAGAAAAATGAAAGCAAAGATCCGAAAAAAATAAAACAAAAGGACCACTAGAGTGAAAAATTTTAAAACAAAGTAGTAAAAAATAAAAGGCCAAAAATCCCAAAGAAGAAAAAGAATAAAAAGAAAGAGAAAAAACTAAAGTGGAAAAAGAAAAAACAAGAGAAGAAAGAAAAAAAAGGAGGGGATTGGGAGATGGTGGTGGTGAAGAAGTTGTAGTGGAGAGAGAATGTAGTCCACCTAAGGTGTCCTAGAGGGTGATCCTCTTGGTTCTGAGTGTATTAAGTTCTGTATGTTAGAGGATGCTCAGTCCCAAATTTATATAAACCAGCGATACTTGTAGAAAGCCCCAACATTGACCACCAAAACATAAACTAGATAAAAGAAGGGGGCAGAATGAGAATGAAGAGAGAATATACTCTCACAGAATGAACCAGCATGGTATTCCACTTGGTTCTGGGTGCATGCTGGTCATGTTTTAGAAGGTATTAACTTCCACCATTGTAGAACAAACTGAGGCAGAGAAAAAACAAAAAAGCCCATATCTCATATATCTCCCAAAATTAAATTGAGTATGTTGAAGGGAATTCAGAAGTGGAAAGTAGAAAATATATCTAGGACCTGTAATTGTAGAAATATGAAAGTCAGAAAGGAAGAAACCTAAAAATGAAGAGGTGGTAGAATATTGTAGTTAAGGTGGGAAAAGAGAAAAAATATTGGAAATTCTTAGTCTGATATAAAAACGAGTTGTACTGGAAAAAGGGGGGGGGGAGGGTACCCTCTAGTTCTATATACTGTAAATCCCTCAGCTTCCCCTGGAGCTTTCCAGTGCTGCTTGGTCAAGAGCTTGCTCTTCCCCTGTCCTTACAAGCTGCTCTTCTGGTGGAGGGGCTGCTGTGCTGATTCTCAGGTGTGTGCACCTGGGGGAGCTGCTCTGCCCCCTGCTGATGCTGGGCTCAGTGGGAGCTGTTTATCCCGTGAGGCCCCCGTTCCCTGGCCTGCCCCCCCCCCCCCAGGCACAAGGTGACACAAGGAGGAACAACACCACTGGCGGGGGCCAGGTCTCCAGCTCTGGAGTCAACTCCCTCAATAACCACCTGCAGCTCCCAGTCTGCACTGGTCCAGGTGCTCCTGGGGCAGAGTTGGCGCTGTAGTGCACAGCTTGGGGGCACCCAGTTGCAGGAGAGTCCTCACTGTCCTGTGCCCTCCCCACCTGCCTCTGCCAGTCCCAGGGGGAGTGCAGGATTGGGGGCTGTGTCTCCTGTGCCCTGGAATCTGGGCCCTGTGCTGCTGGAATCGGGTTCCCGGGGCGTGGCTCCCAAAGGCACCAAGGCACAAGACCCCTCAGCCTGGAGCCCCACCCGACCCACCAGCTTCTCCCGAGGTCCTGCTGGGTGCGTGCTCCAGCCCTTTACTGAGATCGGCTGTGGTGTGTGGTGAGCTCTCCCCCAGGCATTCCTCCTCTCCTAGTGAAGCCAGGAATCTTTTTTTTTTTTTTAATAATAAATGTATTTTTTATTGGCATTCAATTTGCCAGCATACAGAATAACACCCAGTGCTCATCCCGTCAAGTGCCCCCCTCAGTGCCCGTTACCCATTCACCCCCACCCCCCGCCCTCCTCCCCTTCCACCACCCCTAGTTCGTTTCCCAGAGTTAGGAGTCTTTATGTTCTGTGTCCCTTTCTGATATTTCCCACACATTTCTTCTCCCTTCCCTTATATTCCCTTTCACTATTATTCATATTCACCAAACGAATGAGAACATATAATGTTTGTCCTTCTCCGACTGACTTACTTCACTCAGCATAATACCCTCCAGTTCCATCCACGTTGAAGCAAATGGTGGGTATTTTTCGTTTCTAATGGCTGAGGAATATTCCATTGTATGCATAGACCACGTCTTCTTTATCCATTCATCTTTCGATGGACACCGAGGCTCCTTCCACAGTTTGGCTATTGGGGACATGGCTGCTAGAAACATCGGGGTGCAGGTGTCTTGGCGTTTCATTGCATCTGTATCTTTGGGGTAAATCCCCAATAGTTGAAGCCAGGAATCTGAAGGCTTCACCGCACTCTTGTGCTTCTGCCCCATTTCCCTGCTAAGCGCCTTTCAGTCTGGGAAGAATCCGGCACGGGTTTTTCAAGTTCCTGCTCCTCTAGGGCTGGGCTTTCCTGTCTTGGAGGCTCTTGCCGAGGGCCTTAGCCTGGCTCCTCTCAGGGTCCCTCCCCTGCTTGATTCCTTTTGTTATTTTTTTTCTGCCTTCTTACCTTGTTAGAAGCAAAAACCCTTTTCTCTGCAGCATTCTAGCTGCTCTGTCTTTAAATCTCAGGTTGAATTCATAGGGGTTCAGGATGATTTGAAAGTTACCTCGTTAACTTGGTGGGGCCAGGTGAGGTGAGGACCCTGCTCCTCTGCCATGTGGCCCGCCCCCCTCCTCTGAGGATTCTTAAGTTGGAGTAGGAAGTTACAAATAAAATTCCTGAATATACAGATTATAGGCAATAGATTATATTAACGAAGTTGTGTTATCTTTTTTCACAAAGCTTATTAAAAACAAATGCCGGCTGGAGGGAAGCATAGAAGATCTGCAACTGCTTTGACCTCCTATGCTGGGCTCCTCTTCCTCCTCTTCTTTCTCCCTTCCCCATTCGCCTTCTTCTCTCCTCCCTCTCTCTCCTCCTCCCTTTGCCAATCTGATTTACATCAGGCCTCTGCTTGCTTCTCTCCACAGGGAGCTTTCTCCCAAGACTTATGGCTTCTCAGAAGTGTTTCCTCATTATCTGGTCTCCATTCATGTCTTACCTCCACGGAGAGGCCCTTGAACTCCTTGAGAAGCCATCCCCTCTCACACCACACCTCTCTGTCCTTCTTTCTGTTTATTAGATGTTTGTAGCATTTCATGACTCCAAAGGTTATCTGGTCCACTTTTTCTGTGTATACCTTTCTTCCCCTCCCTCCAGGGCCACCATTCTACTGCTGTAGAATGTCCTGTGAATTCCTATAATGGTCACTTTTCTCTTACTCACAACTGTATTCCTAGCACCAAATATAGGGTCTTTTTCTCCGGTTCCCAGCACATAGCTCATAAAATCCTTGTAATCTCTGGGGTGATGAGTGTCTTCTATATGCCAGTGAGATGACAGGTGACTGAAGCCCTGGGTAGCTTCAGGCATCTGAAATGGGGACAGTTTTGTCCAATCTGACATTAATTCCAGCTAGCTAGTGTCAAACTGAATGGAATTGTAGGACACCCAGTCTGTGTTGGAGGGTTGGAGAAGTGGTATTGGAAAAGACACCACACATTTGGTTTCAGAAACAAGTAAAACAATTCATAGGTATACAAGATTATTTGTTGGAGAGATGGGTGGAAACAAACTATTATACCTATGGTTTGCTTTTATTACCAGCGTATATTACCATTTTAATTAAAATATATGTCAGTAGGGATGCCTGGGTGGCTCAGTCAGTTAAGCCTCTACTTTCAGCTCAGGTTACGATCAGGGTTCTGGGATTGAGCCCCACATCGGGCTCCCTGCTCAGTGGGGAGTCTGCTTCTCGCTCTCCCCTGCCTCTCTCCCTGCTTGTGTTCTCTTTCTCTTTCTCTCTCTCAAATAAATAAAACTTTTTTTAAAAAAGTCAATAGATATCTGAAAGGAAATGTTTACATTCACAGATCCCACAGGCAGATTAAGAGCATATAAGGTGACATAGTACACACCTGTGATGAGAAGCAGCTTTTCGTCCTTGGCTTTAACATTTTACCTGTTTCATTCTTTTTTTTTTATTTTTTATTTATTTATTTATGATGAGAGAGAGAGAGAAAGAGAGAGAGAGAGAGAGAGGCAGAGACATAGGCAGAGGGAGAAGCAGGCTCCATGCACCGGGAGCCCGACGTGGGATTCGATCCCGGGTCTCCAGGATCGCGCCCTGGGCCAAAGGCAGGCGCTAAACCGCTGCGCCACCCAGGGATCCCTACCTGTTTCATTCTTAAATGAACTTATGTAGTTGAAATTTATCTGTGTATGATTTTGGTATAGTACAATTTAAAATATGTTCACTTTTATAAGTTAGAAAAAAATTCTCAGAAGTATACCTTCTACTTTTGTTTTATGAACTGATTTACCTGTGGCACTTGAATGTCAAAGATCAAACTACTCAGGAAATTGGGGGTGGGGAGTTCCAAATTCAAAGACAGCAACCTGCTCAGGCTGATTGGAGAAAGAGTAAGAAGTGTTTTCAGAAAGTTTATTCTAAAAGCCATCAATATAAAGCAGCAGTTTATTTTTACATATTATAAAAGCAGTGCATATTCATTTTAGAAGAAACTAGAACTTGTTGACCAAAGGAAGAAAGATCGGGACGCCTGGGTGGCTCAGCGGTTGAGCATCTGCCTTTGGCTCAGGGCGTGATCCCGGGGTCCTGGGATCAAGTCCCACATTGGGCTGCCTGCAGGGAGCCTGCTTCTCCCTCTGCCTGTGTCTCTGCCTTTTACTGTGTCTCTCATGAATAAATAAAATGTTTTTTTTTTTTAAATAAAATCTTAAAAAAAAAAAAGATCATTTCAGTTCCACCACCTCACAGTAATCACTATTAACACGAGAGTTGCTAGCCTTTTAGATATTTTTGTGTGTGTATAAACATATAAATAGAGACCAGGTCATTATTCATCAGCAAGAACCCCTTCTCATCACATCAGCTGTCCTAAATTGTCGTTCATAGCTATAATGTTTCATTGACTGAAGGTTCCCCTAAGTACTTAACCAAAAACCTGGTTGCTGTAACTTTAGCTTACATTTTTTGCTATCCAAACATTTGTGCTCAACTATGTTGTTTTATATTTTTAATTTATTATTAAACAACTTCATTTATAAAATACTCCAAAAGTGATATTTTACTGACATTATAATTTCTTAGCTTCTTAAGAAACCAGAAAAGGGGGAGGAACCAACTGAGAAGCCAAAGGAAAGAGGAGAGGAAGTGGATGTAGGAGATGGGAAGCAGGAGATGAGTCTTAGCTATGCTGTCCTGAAGCCCATGCCCTTGGAGAGCTCGCTGGAGAAGCCCAGGAAAAAGTAAGCCCAAGTTTTTGTTGCTTTGACCACATTAAAGATCACAGACTGTAGCTGAGTCAGAGACACATGTCCTTTTTCGGTACAAGTGCTTGTATTTCATACTGCTTGTGGAATTCAGGGATTTTACCAGGATATGCTTGTCCACGTCTTTATTCCTCCTTGATCATGCCAGGAACTCGGTAAACTCATTTCGTCAGCAGCCTCAAGTCTGTCTTCAAAGCAGGGACATGTCCTGCTGGTTCCTTAGCTGTGCCTGTCCTGGCCTCTTCCTTCGGATTCCTGTTCTCCCCGTTTAGGTCTTCAGGATCTCCTTCCCAGTCTCCTCTCCAAGTGCTAGGCTTCCTTTGTTGGCATTAGTGTCCTTGTGGCCCTTCCATAGACTTTGTCCAGCCGCTGTGGATTCTACTGTTCCACCAGCCCTGCCTGCCTCAGGCTAGAGGTCCTTGGTCATGGACTCCTCTGCCGGCTTGTGACATGCTGCTCATGAAAGGAGCTTGAGCAGGGCTTCTGTGGGAATGGGACAGACACAGTCTCTGCACGGGGGCCAGAGAGGCCCTTCAGAATCTTGTCAGGTGGGAGTACCTCCCTCCTGTCCGCAAGCCTCATTGCGGTTTGGTCACCTCCCCACAACCAATGGGGGGCCATGTGTGTCTAGGCTTCTTGTTCCCCTGGCCCAGGGCTCCTACCTGTGCACGGCATCAGGACACCCCTGGGGCTTCCTGGAGCCCAGGGCTGCTTTGCTTCTGAGGTGTCTGAAAGTAAAGTTATGTTTGCAGGCAAGACAGCAGGGTCATAGAATTAGGCTGCCGTTTGCCCAGAAAACCAACAATCTGAATAACTTCTTACAGTCTTTATTACATACAGAGTTGTGATTAAAAAAAAAAAAATTTCCCCTCTTTTTGGGGGTTCTGATTTATTGGTTTGTTTATAAAATTAATTTATACATGATTATGAAATCTATGATAGCACTGTTTCTGTTGGAGGTATTTCTATTATTGCTTATGATATAGCAGTGCTTTTTGTCATGTTTCTGGTGTGAATTCACACTTTGCTTATAGATCTTTTTCTCCCCACCAGTCCTGTTGCTTCTGTTTTGTGGGGAAGACACAGACAATGTGTGAGGACTTTTACCAGTGTGTGGGCTTTTTTTTCCTTTTACCTGTGGATTGTGGAGGGAAAGACTTTAAGAACCAAGGGAGCTAAGCAGCCACTAATTTATATAGTATGCATTTATCAGTTTGATATATGTATAAAAATCAGTAAATTTCAATTAATTTTAGCTTCACTTGAGGCAGAAACCAAGCCATCAGTGTCAGCTCTGTGTCATAATGGAGGTGGACCTGGGCCACTTTCCTAGTCAGATGAGCACTTTGGTCTCCTGTACTTTATCTATAAAGGGGGACTTATATTTACTTTGGGAGGTTCCCTGAGAATTAGAAAACTAAATATATTTGCCTATTACTTATGGCATTCATATTTTTTTATAATAAATTTATTTTTTATTGGTGTTTAACTTGCCAACATACAGAATAACACCCAGTGCTCATCCTGTCTGGCATTCATATTTAACATTAGGTAGTGTCGTTACTATTGTTGATTCATCTTTCAGCAATTTTGTCTTAAGATTATTTATTTATTTATTTATTTATTTATTTATTTATTTATTTATGACAGACTCACAGAGAGAGAGAGAGAGAGGCAGAGACACAGGCAGAGGGAGAAGCAGGCTGCATGCAGGGAGCCCGATGTAGGACTCGATCCCTGGTCTCCAGGATCACACCCCGGGCTGAAGGCAGTGCTAAATCTCTGGGCCACCAGGGCTGCCCAGCAATTTTGTCTTAAATGCCTGTTTTGTGCCCATTATGTGCACACCTGCTGACGTGCTGATGAGCAGACTTAGGTATTCCCTGCCTCTTCTAGAACTTGCAGTCTGAATGGGAAGACAGGTAATGGACAAGCAGTATACCTAAGGTTCCTGAGAATTTGTATTGAATCACAGGTCACAGAATGATAGTGACATGGAGCAAAGAGAGATGGAGAGAAGACTTCGAGCAAAGGAGCCTGCGACACAAAGATGCCACATGGATGGCAGCATGCACAGAGTGCACTGTGAGTTTAACAGGTTTGCAAGGAGAAACGAAGAAGAGCCGAGATGGGGGAAAGGAGTCCCCCCAGTCCGAGGGAAGAAGGGGAACCAGGACAGTAGCATCCCTGTGGAGGCAGCAGAGTGGCCTGGGAGAGAACACAAGAGTGAAGGTGGCCTAGCACCCAGCATGGAGCACCCAGGAAACAAGGTCTCCTCTTTGTTTGGGATAATCTTTCATTCATCAGTCCTAAAAGTATAAGCTACACGTTTGCATGCTTACACCTGCTTTGCTAAACAGAAGTTCTTTTATTTAGCCAAAAGTGAAAAATCTATAGTAGGCTCACATACTCTGTCATGGGAAGTCCACCCCCACTGGGTATTGTGCTCATAGGGAGTGCACCACCCGGAGAGTTTGCTTTTCATGACACTTTGTGGAGCTTTCCCTTACGTTGTTAAAAATGTACTGATTATTAGTAGATAGTGGCTCATAAATACTCACGAGTTAATAGTCTGTGCAGTTGACACAGGATTGGAATTACCCACTTAGAGCAACAAATGGCTTTTTTCCCCCAAGAGTTTGAGGTTAATTTTTATTCAGATTACATTGTTGCAGAGAAGCACTGTTAACTGGGTCCCCTCCCTTCCAGGGCCCAGCCCCACAGTGCCAGTCAGTCCCCTATACAGCCCAGCCAACCAGTGACTAAGGGGACTGAGGCTGCCCGAGCTGCAGGCCATGCCTCCCACCCTGTCCCAGCCTCAGCAGGCACACTGTCCTCTGCATGATTTTATCATTTCAGGGATGCTATATAAGTGGAGATACAGTGTGTGACCTGAGATTGGCTTTCTCACTCAGCGTAATTCCCTTCAGATCTACCCAAGGTGTTGTTGGTATCAGTGATGTTGATTTGTAAAATGTTTCCAGCAAAGGCAAGGGCAGAGCTATAGGCAAGAAGGGAGCCTTCTTATCTGCACCCTTGCCTAATCACGTCTGTATCACTCAAAAGGTTTATGTGGTTACCTTAACGTCAGGTAACCTACCTTAACAGCAGGGCCCCATGGGTCTTTTTGGTGGGGCTTGTTCACATAAACACTTAAGTTTCAGCTGTCTGTTTATATAGCAGCACTGAGTGATCTGTGTTTGCACAGCTTTAGATGTTGGGACTCCTCTCACTTAACTGTGATGCTCTGTTGGTAATAAGGTGCCTTGTGCATAGTGACTCATTTCTTAGGAGGCCTTGCGAGTTACACAGTCCTTTCACCATCTCTGCACACCCATGTTGCCCTGGTGAAAAGCAGGACTCTACATGTCAGCCTCGGGCAGGAGGTGACATGGAAACCCTGCACATCTGTGTGCACAGGGATTCAGATCCATGAGGCCTGCCTTGCCCTTTCCCACTCTCTCCATTGGCTGGGCTTTTTTTTCCTTAGTGGAAGGCACTGAGGTGTGCTTGTAAGTCTCCACCTCTCCACCTGGGAGGAGAATACCATGATTCTGCTGGCCCCAGGGGTGTTCTGGGCTTAAGCAATAACATTTTCCCAGACTAATTTTACCTTACTTCGAGTTATTTTAAGTATTAACTGTCGTCATGGCTTTTTTTTTTTTTTTTTTTTTTGTCTTTAAAATGCCTGGTTTTTGAGATAGTGCGGTGAAAAAAAGGCAGATTTTTTTTTAGCTGTAAGACTGATTGCTTTAGATGATTAGGATCATCAGACCCTGGAAATAGAGATGTTTTGCTCCCTCCTGTGTTGCCAACCTTTGGAAGAGTAACCCATTCCTCTGTCCTAGCAGGATTTGCTGGCCTTGCAGCTGTACCAACCAGAAGCTCACATCCGAGCACAAGAAAGTGGTGGGGGAATCTCTGTTGAGGGCCGTGATGGGAGCAGGGGCGAGGCTGAAGATTTGGCACTGGCTGGTTCCCAGAAGAGTGAAGAGGCAGGGTGAGTCAGCATGCACATTTGACGGGGACATCCCATTCAGTGTTCTGTGGGTTAGAGAGGGCATTCCAGAAATGTATCAACCAGTGTCAAGTATAACCTGCAAGGTGAATTTACTCTTTATAAAGAAATCAGAAACTAGAAATATACATCTAGAAACCATTCTTAAGAAAAAAGCGCTTTTAAAAAATTGAAAAGTTGTCATAGATGTTACTGTTTCTAGTACAAACTAGTATATACTGTTTAGCCAAAACAGAACAAATAATATCCTTTGGAAATTAGAAATGTATGATTAAAACAGGGAAGAAATTAGTATTGTACCAGTGTGGACTCTGAAGCACTTTGAAACATGTAGGAATAACATGTACTTTGAATTCTGCACATTTATAAGTAAGTGATCTGTGTCAGGATCCGGATCGCATGTGTGTGAGCTGTACTTTATAAAAGGGAAGGGAGCAGCTCTTAGGCCTTTGTAACCTGGTGATCCAGCCCCTGATGCCAACTGTGTGCCATTGCCCTGAAGCCAGGAACCTTACCCCTGGGTAAAGTCTGACCACTTTAAGTATTGCCCCTATAACAATTTGGCTGGTATTTTCACAGTCTAATGATGGATGTGCTGCTCACGGTTTATAACCACTTATGTAAAGGCTGCTGAGATAGCATAAGGGCATTATTTGGGTACAGCGATAACTTAGGTACAGCATCTGGCGTTTTCCTTTTTGCAGACTGAGACAGTTTTATTTTGAAAGAACATAATGGAGTTTTCTGCAATTAAGTATTCACAGTATTTTCTAATGTTAGTGAAATTTTTAAACATTAATGTATTTTTGGCACTATGCTTTAGAAAACTAATTTTAGTTGCTATGGATTTGAAGTCCAGTTGTGGTACTTTTCCTACATCAAATTTTACATAATAAAATATTTTCAAAATGTAGCTTTAATTACCTGAGCACTTTGTTGATTATTCCTTACTAAATATGAAATGTTTATCAAAAAATGGAGAATTACTCATTTATCATTAAAGACGTTTGACTGTGGGACATACAGTCCGTCCCTTGGCATTGCTATGCTTTTGCTCTTGACTCTGGAGCTCCAAGAATTTGGTGGAGGAGGAGTAAGAAGGACTTGCTGTGATTTAATGAGGTCCAAGTGACCCAGCATGGCCAGCTGTGGTGGAAAAGGGGTAGGTAGTAACTATTGTAGACTTTGCCAGCTCTCTGGTCTCTGTTACAGCTTGTAAACTCTGCCATTAAGCAATACATAATGAATGGGCAGGGGTGTGTTTCAATAACATTTTATTTATAAAAATAGGCAGCAGGCCATATTTGGCCTATGGATCATAGTTTGTTGACTTCAACTTAGAGTATGGATCAGGCTGGATCTCCTGATGAGTGAGCCACTGTATTCTCACTATTTGTTTGGGCTTTGATCTGGAAACAGAAGTGCAGCTCAAAATGGACTGAAGATTGGAACATAAGACACAGAACCATAAAATTCCCGGAAGGAACTCCTTGTCACCATTCTTGGTGATAATTTTTTGTATTTGACATGAAAAGCAAAGGCAATAAGAGTAAAACTAAACAAATGGAACTACATTGAACTAAAAAGCTTCACGTGAAAGGAACTCATTTGTAAAATGAAAACACAACCCATGGAGAGAGAAAATATCTCCACACAACACACCTAATAAGTGTAAATATCCTAACCCAAAATATATGAGGAACTCATACAACTCAATAGCAGAAAACCAAATTACCCAATTTAAAAAGGGGGCAAAAGACCCAAATAGACATTTTTCCACAGAAAACATCCCAGATAGCCAACAGGTACAGGAGAAGATGCTCAACACCACTACTCATTAGAGAAAAACAAATCAAAACCTCAAGGAGATATCACCTCACACCCGTCAGAGTGGCTAAAACCAGAAAGACAAGAGAGCAAGGCTTGGCAATGATGTGAAGGAAGGGGAACTCTTGTGCACTGTTGGTGGGAATGCCATTTGGTAGAACCACTACAGTATGCCATTATGGAAGTTCATCAAGAAATTAGAAATAGAGCTACCATACTATTTACCTGTTCCACTGTGGCCTAGGTCCAAAGGGAGCAGAATCACTATCTTGAAAAGATAGCTGTTCACATGTTTTTCACTGTTATTCACAGTAGCCAAGGATGGAAACAACCTTAGTGTCCACTATGGATGGGTGGATAAAGGAAATGGAACATTATGCGGCCTCATAGAAGGAAGCCCTGCCATTTTCAGCAACATGGGTAAACTTTGGAGTTATACCTCAGTAGAGCTGGAAAATAAGTAAAAATTAGTTACATGCTCTGAAAGTTTCCTGTGATGTGTCCCCAGGGCTTCCCAGAAGTCACTTTGAGATTACTGATTTAAAACAATAACACAGGGATCCCTGGGTGGCTCGGCAGTTTAAGCGCCTGCTTTCATCCTAGGGCATGTCCTGGAGACCCGTGATCGAGTCCCATGTCAGGCTCCTTGCGTGGAGCCTGCTTCTCCCTCTGCCTCTCTCTGTCTCTCATGAATAAATAAATAAAATCTTTAAAAAATAAATAAATTAAACAATAACACATTTGGATAATGAGTTACTTTGGTATAAAACATTTCCATATTTACTTCCCAGTTTTGGCTTAGACTCACTTTAGAATTGGTTGGGCAGGACATACATGATGTCCCTGTAAGTTTAGATATCTGGCACCTGTTGCTGGCAAAGTCAAGCTGCCTTCATATTTGTAGAATTTTTATTACTAATAACCCTAAGAAAAAGTTTCTGAGTTTATCACCTGTCTAAGAAATGGTAGAAATGTTAAGAAAGAATATTCTTCACACGCATGGGAGTTGGACTGCAGTGCTCAGTGTGACCGAGGGGTGGCGTGAGGCTGGCCACCTGTTGGTTTGCCTTCTAATTGGCTTTGCAAAACTTTCTTTTTCCTATTGTTTCTCATTTTAGATGCCAGTCTGGTTTTATTCAGCTACCTAATAATTTTAATAATTTAAATGTGAACATAGCAAAGCAGAACATTAGCTATCAGTATTTTAATGGATCTCAGTCTTGTTAGTAAATTATAAACACTAGCTGACTGAGGTAATTCCTCAAATCTGACATGAAATAGGCACCTTAAAGAATCTCATATCTTTGGAAACAGGTTTTCACTTGCTTGATAATAGTCCTCACCAAGTCATCGTCTCCCACTTCCTGAGTCAAATGACAGTGAGACCCTTGGGGGAAAGTGAGGCAGCTCATGAGGCGGCATGTTCTCTGTACAGAGTGCAAGGCCATGGCCGGGTGGCCCTTCTGGCCACCATCTTTCTGCATATGTAGAGGACCCTAGATGGTGAAGGGTGTGAGCTTTTTCACATCACACCCTGAGGAAGGATCTTTTATTTTCACATCTATCATGAACTCTCATTTGTGTCTGTCTTCTCAAGAGGGTTTTTTTTTTTTTTTAAAGCAAATTAGCCCACTTAAATCCACCTGGTAATTCCTCAGTCCAGTCCCAACTATAGCAAGATCTAAGGGGATAGTAATTGTTATATGAAAATTCAGTTTTAAATCTTTATTTTAAAACTTTTGTCACTTCAATGAAGTTTAGAAAAATGCTGTCTGCTCTGTGTGAGCTTCTGTTGGCTGCATTTTGGTGGAGAGCTAACAGCGTCTTGTAAGTGCTCCTCCTTATCTTTGTATCAGAAGCATGTTTATCAATCACTGTTTTAAATTTCTCCCCAAATTCTTTACTGTGACAAGTCTAAAAGAAAAATAAGTACATTAGTTACTCTGTATCACAAAAGCAATAAAAGATGACCTGGCAGACTTAAACACAAGCAGTCTCTCTTATAGAGGAATGGCATTTTTCAATGATAATAGCATTTTTAGTAGAAGAAATCATTGTCTTGGTAGAAATGTCAAGGTGCCAAACTGAGAGATGTGTGCCTACATATAATTACCCAGTTACACACACCATGTAGCCATTTCCTACATCACTGGGACCATACTTTTCTGAACCAAAAAGTGGAACAACTGATTTGACAAAGGTTTCTTGTGCCACTCTGGGGTGTGAGGGACAGTCTAGGAGATGTTTGGGTGCCAAACTGCTGGCATTTCTTGGATGTCTTAACAGATGGTAGAAACCATGATATTCAGACTCAAGCCTTGTTAGGGACTGAACTCCCCAACTCCTTCACATGTTGAAGCCCTAACCCCCCACTGTGTGGCCTATATCTGGAGCGAAGAAGTAGTCAGTGTTTATGGGGTCATGAGGATGGTGCCCTGATCTGATAGAATTAGCATTATTGTAAGAGGAGACACCAAAAGGTGCCCACCTGCAAGCCAGGAAGGCCTTATCAGGGACCAGAATAAGTGGCACTATGATCTTGGACTTTAAACCTCTAGAACTGTGAGAAGTAAGATGTGTGTCTGAAGCTGCCCAACTGTAGTATTTTGTTAACAGTGGCTGGAGCTGACTGAGACAGGCCTGTTTCAGGGAACCTGAGGACTCAGAGGGTGCAGAATATCAGGAAGGAACCCAGTGGTGGTTCCCCTCTCCTGGATCATTCCAATAAGATTTGGTCATTCCTATGTTACAAAGAAAATTCTTCAGGCAAAATTGCCATATCGAGACATAAAATGGAAATATCCTCACACCCAGCATGTGAACTCCTAACTAAACATACATCCTACAGACAGACTCGCACAAGTACAGACAGTAAGCATGCCAGCTGTCCCTATGCCCTGTCCTAACCAGAGAAATGGAGACTGCCCACTGCTCAGCAGCAGTGGCTGGCTGGCAGAAAACTGACACTGAAATGTCCACAGTGTGTTAAAAATTTAGAAGTGCAAGATTTGCTTTAAGTAGTTTATAGACACATAGGATATTTGTGCTAGAAAATGTCTGCAAAGATGTGTACCACTGTAGAAGTATATGGTCAGTTAATCTACAACAAAGGAAGCAAGAATACATGATGGAGAAAAGATAGTCTCCCCAATGAATGGTGCTGGGTTCTGGATAGCTGTAGGCAGAAGAATGAAACCAGGTCATTTTCTTACACCACGCACAGAAATAAACTACAAACAGATTAAAGACCTAAATGTGAGTCCTGAAACCATAAAACTCCTAAAGGAAAACATAGGCAGCAATCTTGTGGTCATCAGCCTTAGCAACATATCTGTGGATATATCTCAGGCAAAGGAAACAAAAGCAAAAATAAACTCTTGGGACTACACCAAAATGAAAAACTTCTGCCCAGCAAAAGAAACTACCAAGAAAACAAAAAGGCAACCTACAGAACAGGAGAAAATATTTGCAAATGACATAAATGACATATCTGATAATGGGTTAATATCCAAGATATATAAAGATTATGTAAATCAATTCTGGAAGAACAATCTGATTAATAAGTGGTCAGAAGACCTGAAGAGACATTTCTCCAAAGACACAGATGGTCAAAAGACACATGAAAAGATGCAGAACATCACTAATCAGTGACATGCAAATTAAAACCACAATGAGAAATTACTTCATCCTGTTCAGAATGGCTAGTATCAAAAAGACAGATAACAAGTGTTGGAGAGGATATGGAGAAGAGGGAACCCTTGTTCACCGTTGGTGGGAGTGTTAATTGGTTGTAGCCACTATGGAAAATGGCACAGAAGTTACTGAAAATATTAAAAATGGAAATCCCATGTGATTCAGTAATTCTGCTGTTTATTTTCCCAAGGGAAATCAAAACACTAATTTGAAAAAATGCATGCGTGTTTTTTGTAGCACTATTTATAATAGTAGAGATATAGAAGCAGCCCAATGTCCATCCATGAATGGACGTGGTATGTATATAAATGGAATATTAGTCACAAAAAGGAATGAGATCTTGTTATTTGTGAAAACATGGATGGAAAAAGCAATACAAATTATTTCACTTTTATATAGAATCTAAAAAAATAAAACAAATGAAACAGACTCCTAAGTAAGAGAACAAACCAGTGATTGCCAGAGGAGAGGGGGGGAATGGGGGGATGGGCAAAATGGGTGAAAGGGATTGTGTTTTACAAACACAAAAATACTCAATCTTTTAGGAAAAATACAGGACATATACTACAATTTAATAGCAATTGGAGGTAGGATTAAGATGATTTTTAGTTTTCTAATTTTTAAATAATAACTGTGTACAAAAATAGATTTTCATTGCTTCTCATTCCAAATGAGTTCAAAACTTGTTACCAAATATTTATAAATGCCTGAAATAATACATGTGAAATGAGGAATTTGAAAACATTCTTTCCCCAGGGGTCTTTGCTAATCTGCCAAGTTTCTCATTGAAGGACACTAGTGAAACCAGCATTTAGGAGCTTCCATACAGTTTCTTTTTCTGTTTCTAGTATTTGCTTAAGTTCAGCTAGAAGCTATAATAGTACTATTTTTAACATTTTCCTTAAATATGTGTGTTAATACCCTTTACTTTGACATGCAGCATGATGAATTTCCTTTTGCAAGAATAGGTTTGTCTACAACACTTACTGACCTTATGTTTTACAAATGACCACCTTATCATTCTCTCTGATGTGCCACTTTTTTGCCTCTTGAGCAGTAACCTAACCAGTTTCTTAGGCTGTAAGTAAAACCTATTTTGTCATTGCCCAAATCCAGGGTTTGTCATCACATGAAGTTAGGGTTTTCTGAATCATGCTCCTTCTCTTTGGAATTCTGTATAATATTTACCAGTATAAAAATACATCTATTTATTTTTTAAGGCCTTACCTTTTGGAATTTTTTGCAGGTTTCAACAGCTGCCCAGTGTCATCCAAATCAAAAAAAGAGAAGATCTGTAGGACTGTGTTGTCAGGCATGTGAACTAACAAATCAAATTTTCCCCGACACAGATTCAAAGAAGAATCCTCCTTGAGGAATAGGAGGATTCTTTCCCAAGCACTTTCCACACCTGACCTAAATATCAGCGAGAGAACAAGACAGCCATGGGCAGAGACAGGACAGGTTATGACAGGCCAACTCAATCCCACCCACTGTCTAAAGAAGTCACTTGATTTTAAAAGTACTGTGCTTCTTCACAAAGGGAATAAAGCCTTATTCCCACTGAAAAGATGGTCCTCATTAAGAAATAACAACTGCTTCAGTGAAATGATGGAATCTCACCATTAGGACGTTCCTCACATTTCGTCTGACAACAGCTCTTTGAAGAGGCAATTTCGTCACTCTAGGATGTCCATTCATTTACTCATTCATCACATTTGCAGTGAACGCCTCTGTGGGAGGCGGCACTTTTGTAGGCATCAAGCCTGCAGCAGTGAGCAAAGACCAGCCTCTGACTTTTTGGGGCTCATAGCCTTCACAAAAGGAGGAGAAATACCTAAAAGGGAGGGTCTTCGTCACATCCTCTTGAGTCATAAATGGCAGAACTGAGTCCTCTAGATCAGGAATCCTTAACCTGAAATCCACATTGCATGCTGTTTTGACGCTGCTGTTCTTGTGGCCATCCACGGGCTCCCTAATTAACCTCACCATATTATGAATAAGAAGATCAAACATTTTTTTTCGTCTGGTCTGGTCTATATTAAGCTTTTGTCAGACCCTCAAAGGAACAACTTTAAAAAGTTAAAAGTCTCCTACATTAGACTGTCTGTAATCCAGTGCTAAATGGTTTCCACAGGCCTCTTGCCATAAACATAACATGGAGCAACTGAGCATTCTAAGCAAAAACTGTCACCTAAAGTCACAGACACTTCACTGCCAAGTAGGCTTATGATCCCTCTTGCCTGCTTTCTTCTGACCAGAGCCCCTAGCAGCCTGCCCCTGTCTGATCAGTGCTGTCCCCAGATGCAACCAATCTGCTCTGGACCTGTGTGGGGCAGCTGTCCCTGGTCGGGTGGTGGGTTCATGGCCTCTGTGAGTGCAGGGAGCTCATCTCCTGTGGACTCCTGGGTGAGAGGGGGTATCCTTGTTTAAGCTGTTTGAGTGACTGTGTCCATTACTTGCAGTCAAATCTGATCCTGACAGGTTTTGTTTTGTTTTAATGTATATGAAAGCTTTCACCCTGAGGAAATCCACTGCCTGCAAAACAGTGCGCGGTACCCCACCCCCAGCAGCTCCTGGGGGACTTACTTGAAATAAGCATTCCCAAGTGCTGCCTAAGAACTTCTGATAATTTTGGGCCCAGCTCTCATCCTCCATGTGGTTCTGAAGCCTCCAGAGACCCTCTTCATCCCACCATGCTTTCTGTAAGAACCAGAGGCCACACCAGTGCACAGCCATGACCTCCATTTACAAATGGATGCAAAGAAACAACCCAAAGGCCTGAGGTTGTAATGTGATAAAGCTATGGTTCCTCTAGCAACTCTTGCTAATTAAATATTTAGGGGCGCCTTGGTGGTTCGGTCAGTTAAGTGTCCAACTCTTGATTTTGGCTCAGGTCATGATCTCAGGGTCCTGGGATTGAACCCCACACTGGGCTCTGCTCTCAGTGAAGAGTACTTGTCCCTCTCCTTTTGCCTCTCCTTCTGCTTGTGCATGCAGTTGCTCTCCCAAAAAAAAAAAAAAAATCTTTTTTTTTATTTTTATTTTTATTTATTTTATGATAGTCACACAGAGAGAGAGAGAGAGAGAGGCAGAGACAGAGGCAGAGGGAGAAGCAGGCTCCATGCACCGGGAGCCCGACGTGGGATTCGATCCGGGGTCTCCAGAATCGCGCCCCGGGCCAAAGGCAGGCGCCAAACCGCTGCGCCACCCAGGGATCCCAAAAAAAAAAAAAAAAAAAACTTAAAAAAAAAAAAACAGACAAGAGGAATACGAAGTCCTCCAAATTTTTCCTGGAACTTAAGCATTTCCATTTTATACACATTTCCATAATCCTCTTATGCTGCTTCTAAGAGGTGAATTACAAGTTCTGCCCTCTAGGAATAAGGGACAGGGCTGCATCTTCTCCCACAGCACAACCCTTCACCTACCATGGGCAGCCCCACAGCCTACACCCCTCTACTTCATTGCTTCAGTGAAGATACACTGGTGTGGGTGTCTATGTCGTACCAGGGACAGATGCTGTGTGCTCAGGTTACAAAGCACAAGAGTTTTGCTGACAATGAGCTCTGTTTGCCAGGGAAATCCACATAAGTAGATGAAGAGACAATTATGGTTCACTGACATAAGGGCTGAAGTGTACACAGGAAATACAGGTGCTTCCTGACTTTTTAAAGTCATCTTCCCAGGGACACTGATCTATTTGGGAGTAATAAAATTTGGGATCCCTTGCCCCTGGCAACAGGAAGCCGAAGCTCAACACCCCATGACCCTGGTTTGGGAATGATGCAGAGGTGAGGCACAATGTGGAGCCACTGAAGGCAGCAGCATATGGTGGCACTGGTGATAATGGCACCCAGTGGCAGGGCCCGGTGCAGCTTCCTGCACTCCACCCTGTCCATTGGTTCTGAGCCTCATCTCATTCTCCAGGCTTCACGTTCATTCTCTGAGCTACTTATGATCCTTCCAATAATTTCTCTTTTCTGCTTAAGTCAGCTAGGATCAATTATCTGTTACTTAAAACCAAGAACTCCACAGGAAAACAGATAAATAGGGAGGGAGTTAGAGGCAACAGTAACAAGGAAATCTGGGGGAAGAAGTTACACTGGCTTGAGTACAAGTACCATTAGTATCCAGGAATAAGAATCTGGCAGCCTATACCCTATGGTGGTAATCATCTGTGGTCACCTGGAATCAACTATCCACTGGTTCAGGTTTGTGGAAATCACATTGCTACCACCATGGAACAATGTAAAAGGCAAAAGGAGTGCAAGATATGGTATGGGGTGGCGATTTCTAGCAGCACTGAATTGGAATGTAAACCAAACAAAACCTCTAAATTCTTAAAACCTAGAAACTGGGAGTTGCTATGCAAGTGGTAAAATTGTTGTATGGTCACATGGTGAAAATAGCCACAAAATATGAAAGCTGGTTCAATAATATAGAAAGAGTGGCCTCTGTGCCAGAATAGAGGTATTTAGGAGTCTTTGACAGACCGGCAACACACCAGGCTGTCCCAACACCCACACCCCACTGATGCTCTCATGCCCTTCCCTCCCCAGGAAAGCAGATTCTCTCAGGCTCCTCCCAACCCACCAATGTTATCAGACCTGAAATACAGGTCGATGCTGGGAAGACTCGGCTTCCACAAAAGAACACAGTCCTTTACCTGTCAGCAAAGATGAAGGGAAAAAATGGAGGAATAGGTTCTGAGTGTAGGAGTCTAGAGAATAAAATAGGCTGATTTTATGAATAATGTATTGGTTTAAACAAAGGGGAGGTTCTACTTGTTGATACAACTGGTTGGTAGGAGCCTATATTCAGTAGTGGCCAAATGAGATTGAAATATCCAAAATTCTTACCACACTTGAAGTGAGCTCTGGATTGGGCTGGGAAACAGCCCTAGGAGGTGGCCACATCCTAGTCTTTGGAGCCTGTGAAGGTTACCCTATGTGGGGAGGTAAAGGGTTTTGTAGACATGATTCAATTCATTAAAATCAGGGTCTGACATGGGGAGATTCTCCTGGGATGTGCAGGTAAAGGAAACAGGGAAGGGTTTCACCCCCAGTGAAAAAAATGAATAAATTCTCATGAGTAAATAAAATTTCATATTTTGTGTTCAGAAGAGAAGGTGACATGCAGACACCATCACAAGCCAAGGAAGCCTGCGGCCCCCAGGAGCTGGAGGAGGCCAAAAACAGATGGTTCCCCAGGGTGTCCTGTGGGAGCAAACCTTGCGGACACTGTGGCCTCCGTAATTGTAACAAGAGTAAATTTCTGTGCTTTTAAGCCACTAAACTTGTGGTCATTTGTCACAGCAGCCATAGGAAACTACCGTAGGCACCCTGGGTTTAATGGGAAAGGAGGACCCAGGAGTTTAGTGGCAAAGCCGAGAGAAGCTGACTGTAGCAGGCAGAAGGGCCAGGTGGCAATCAGAATGGCCTTCCTCCGGATGACTCGGGGTGACTGATTACCAAGTGCCTGGGGCAGGAAAGGGTAAACTGTCTGCTAGATTCCTGCCTGCCTGGCATAATCAAACCCTACATCAGGTCCTGTAAATATAGGCCTGATTTGAGCAGCGCTAAGAGATACCTGGCCCTTCAACCAGTTTCTAGACTAGAATGGTTTCACAGACCAGAGATCCTCAGCTGTCCAGGAGGATAGCTACACTCAAGGAACCCTGTGGGAACAAGTCTATTCTGTGACTTTTTCTGTAGGCATCTACTGCAGGTTGGCAAAGACCCACAAGCTCGACAGTTGGCAAGACTGCGCGTTTGTCAGGGTATGGAACCTGCAAGACTCCAGCTCACTGACGCTCTGTGAGCAACTGTGGAGTTGACAGTCTCAAGTGGAGGACACGGGACCAGCATGGGTGTCAGCAGTGCGGGGTGGTTTAGGGATGGCACTGCTGTGACCCTGAGTCATCTGAGATGACCCATGCTTTGGGACCATCCAAGCTTTCCTGGGTGCTCCTTTCTGTGTCCAGCCCCTGCATGCTGCCTCCACTGCCATCTGCTTGTGCCCTTGTATCCTACTAATGTGCCTCTCCCCTACATCCCTACTTGTTGGAGGGTACAGCATCTCCAGCCCCATGCAGGCCTTCTGACCCCACAAGGCTCCCAGGCTCCACCCTCACCTCAGGCTGTGAGCCAGCTGCTCTAGACCAGTCTTCTCAGTGCCCTGACTGCCCGGGCCTCCCTGAGAAACTCACTCTTCATTTGAGAACAACTTAGTGTTCCCTCAGCTCTCTATTACCACTCTCTGCCTTTGAATACCACAGAAGCTGGCTGCTATATTCATTTCCTATCCCCGAACCTAGAGCTGGTTCTGACACACAGTGAGCACTTTCAAAGGAGTGAACAAATCCATGCATCCTTCATTGGTTCCACTTTGGGACCCTCCTAGGATAGAGCAAGAAATGTCTGACCGAGCCCCCAGACAGGAGGTCACGTGACTGCATCACAGTTCTGCTGGGGGCTGGTGCAAACCTACAGCTTGTAGGAGTTCAGCCAAGTGGGGCAGCCCCTGGGCTCCCTCACATCCACCAGCCAGGCCTCTAGAGCCAGGAATACGGGCTTTCTTTAAAGAGTGAGGAAAGAGCAGCCATGGGAGCCTGAGACAACACCCCCAGAGTGTTCCCCCGCCACTGCTACCACACTTGCCCTGCTGCTACTTACTCAGCTGGAAATCTGTGTGGATGTTCCTCACCTCTCTTGGGAGAGTTGTTCTAGGTGGAGAGAAAACTGTCTGTGACTTCCAGATAAGCTGTCCAGAGAAGCAGACACATGCATGCATTCTGGCACAGTAGTTTCCCACTGTGGGGGCCCATCACTGGTAGTCTGCTACAGCACCTGAATTGACAATATCCCTCTGTGAATTAAAAACCGCAGCATATTCACAAGCTGGTTGAAGCTGGTAAGGATCTATTTCACTACTCTCTCCACTTTTATGAATGTTTAAAATTTTTAGTAATAAAGTGTTTAAAAATCATCTCAGATGGGGATTTTTTCCCACTTGGTTCATATGCTGACAGATTAATTGAATGAATTATTTGTACTGATACAATAAGATGATGCTGGACAGTTCTTTTTTTTTTTTTTTTAAAGATATATTTTTTATTTATTTATGATAGTCACAGAGAGAGAGAGAGGCAGAGACACAGGCAGAGGGAGAAGCAGGCTCCATGTACCGGGAGCCCGATGTGGGATTCGATCCCGGGCTCCAGGATTGCGCCCTGAGCCAAAGGCAGACGCCAAACCGCTGCGCCACCCAGGGATCCCGATGCTGGACAGTTCTATACCAGTGTTTCATTTTCATTGTTCTAATTGCTGAGATCATGTTGATGTAGTAGGGACCAGAGGGGTCTTGTAATAGAAATACTACCTAATTCTTTAAGTTTCTTTCAAATTATAGGCCAAGTGTTCAACTTATCTATAATCAAATATTACTTGTAAGGGTTTTATCATTTGAGAACTCTTTCAATCTTACTGAAAACAAAGACCCAACTTTTAAAAGGGTTTGCTATTCAGTTGGACTCATTCATCTTCTGTCTCTGGGAAGCAGACACAAAAGGCTCGCAACTCATTGTCATGAAGAGGTAGGCCAGGGCACCTGGGTGGCTCAGTGATTGAGCATCTGCCTCTGGCTCAGGTCATGGTCCCAGGGTCCCAGGACTGAGTCCCACATCGGGCTCCCCACAGGGACCCTGCTTCTCTTTCTGCCTGTGTCTCTCACGAATAAATAAAATCTTAAAAAAAAAGAAAAAAAGAAGAGGTAGGCCATAAAATCTTAATCTTTCACTATTACTTGCCCCACCA